GAAGTTAGGTTAGATTCAGGTTAGTGGGAAATCTTAAAATCCAAGCTGAGTTTGGATTTTATCCCACTTACACTTTGGAAATTAATTTTTCCTCCCTCAAAAGGCAGTTCAGGGGCTGGGGTTGTGGCTCAGTGGTAGAGCGCTTGCTGAGCATGTGTGAGGCACTAGGTTTGATTCTCAGCACTACATATAAGTAAAATAAAGGTCCATTGACAATTAAAATAATTTTTTTTTTTTTACAAAGGCAGTTCATATGGTTAGATTTGAGAACATAGGAAGAGACTGGAGACTGGAATTTAAATTATGGAAGGTGAAGGGTAACAAGGAATTTATATTAGAATAATAACATAATTCAAAGATAGGATTGACAACACAGTTGTCAGCAAATTGACAAATAAATCAGATAGAGTACAAAGGAAATACAAGAAGCCAAGGCAGCTCTTGAGATTTTGAATTTGTCAGAAGAAAGACATGTTGCCATTAAATACAGAATAGGAAACCTGAAGGAAGAGCAGATTTGAGAAGGAAGATTAGTTTAATTCTGAGCATGTTGTGTGGTGCTGGCCTGCTGGTGGGGAAGTATGTATGGTAGGTAGTTGGAAAAATTTACCAAGGCCCAAGATTTGGGAATTATTTGCAAAGTAGCTTTTGATACTGCAGAGGAAGAAAAGAAAGTGCATGGAGAAATAATGGATAACAGCACAGAGCAAATTCTTGGGAAATACCTCTTAGAAAGATGGAGGGAAAGGGAGCTGGGGATATAGCTCAGTTGGTAGAGTGCTTGCCTTGCATGCACAAGGCCATGGGTTAAAACAAAAAAAAAAAAAAAAGAAAGATGGGAAGAAAAGATAAAAAAGAGCAAAAGCAAGAGAGGACAATATTTTCAAAACCAAGAAAAGTTATCTCCATGAAGAAGTAAGATTCAAACTATTTTCTTCAGAGCTCTGCTGTAACCTAAAAGTGTAATGTACAGTTGTCCCTTGGTATCTAGGGAGCTTGTCCCTTATATAAAGTGGTTTAGTACTTGCATATAACCTGTGTACATCTTCCTGTGTACTGTATAAAGATCATCTCTGGATTATTCAGAATATCTGAAACAGTATAAATGTAACATAAATAGTTGTTATACTATATTGTTTAGGGAATAATGACCAGAAAAGCCTGTACATATTCAGTAGATATGATTTCCATCCAACTGACCTTTCTTTCCTTCTTTTTTTTCCATTCCCCCAAAACCATAAAATAATTTTATTATACTAAAAATGTGCTATTTTTTTATGTTGATTACTTTCCCCATTTCCCCACCACTAGAAAGTATCTTCATGGGTAAAATGCAGTCCATTTATTTAGACATACTCTTCTTAGGCAATTTTAACTTCTTCCTCTGTTGTAACACCACTCAATATTTATCACTTTTAATCTTCTCTTCAGATACTTTTTTCTTCAGGATAATTTGCATCCTTGCCTCCATCTGTTTCTGCTTCGTTGTCCTCTCCAGTGGGAAAAGCCAATGTACCTTCAATTTTCACTATTCTGCTTTTCTTCATTATTTTCTCCATTCAATCTGAACTCAACTTTTATAGAATGCATCTTCTGCATTATTTCTGCCAGTATCCAGGTCTGTTTTCAAGGTAACATTGTATTGAAAAGACTACAACTCTTTCCAGGTCTTTGTAGTCTGTTGTCACACTAGGGTCATTCATAAACTCCTCTTCCTGTTCACTCCTTGTCATGGTCACCTTTTTAAGTTGTTGATGGATCTTTATTTTATTCATTTATTTATATGTGGTGCTGAGAATCGAACCCAGTGCCTCACACATGCTAGGCATAGCTCTACCACTGAGACACAATCCAAGCCCCGAGTTTATACTACTTTTTGGTCTTATGGAAAATGGAAAAAATACATTCTGGAGACATTAAAAGCCCTGGAATCTCAGAAAATATTATGGAAACATGTTTTATAATTTGATACATTTAACTTTGTACTAGAAAAAGATAAGTATTGATTCTAGGAAGCAGTATGAAGAAATGTGTCTCTTGAAGTATAACTCATGATGTAGTCTAAGTGTCTAGCTTTGTTAAACACTGGTGAGCAGTCTGACACTAAACACAACCATAGTGCATATGACCTATGCATCAGGGTCATTTGTCCCTCTCCAAGGCCCTGCTGACTGAATAGGTGAGTTTTCTTTGTAATGTTTTGGTCCTCAGTTGGTTGAATCCTTGTGTGTGGAGCCCAACTATGTATTCTACATCTCATACATTATTTTGTTATACGTTTAGCATTGTTCTTTACTCATCATAGTTCTCAGTTTTACACATCTTAAGGAATCATGAGCTTCTGTGCATTTTTTTTTTCCTCTTCCAACCCGTCTTCCCCATACTGGGGATTGTACCTAGGGGTGCTCAGCTTTCCAATCTCTAGGATTAAAGACATGTGAAACATACCAGCTTCCTTGCCTTTAAATTGCTGAGGCTGGCTTTGAACTTTCGATCTTCCAGCCTCCACCTCCCCAGCCACTGGATTAATATTTGGCAGAATGATGTGTAGATAGTTGAAATCCAAGCCCCTGATTATGAAGTTTAGTGTCCTGTTGCAGAATTGAATAAAAATTCACTGGGAGTAGTTTATGCTTGCAGGTTTTCTACCAAGTTATCTGCTTCATTTGTGATGTATTCTTTCTTTCTTTCTTTCTTTTTTTTTTTTTTTAAAGCCGTGCTAGGTACAGAACCTGGGCTTCACACATGATAGACAAGCTACACCTCCAGCTCTATGATGTACTCTTGATCTTGTCTATTTTTGTTTTCTCTTTGGTAAATGATAGAAATTCTAACAGTACTCAAAAGAGCTTGAGTTGTAAGGAGGAAAAAGTTAAGGGGGTTCTAGGGATTGGATATATGCATATATTTTGATCTTACACTTGAATTATTTTAGAAAATCTTCTAAAATATTACTTTTACCAGCTTGGTGGGTGCCTTTGGAAATAAAATAGGAACCTAGAAAGGGAATAGCCTACTGAGCACAGTGTCACAGACCTGTAATCAAGGAACTGAAACAGCTATACAGGATGTCAAAGACGGTATGAAAAAAGAATGAAAAATATCTCATTAATATTTTAATATTGATTACATGTTTAAATTATTATTGTTTGGGTATATTTGGTTTATATAAAATATATTAATTAAATAACATTAATTTGACCTGTTTATATAAAATAAATTAATTAACATTAAAAAAAAAAAGAAACTGAGAATCACAAGTTCGAGGCCAGCCCCAGCAACTTAGGGAAACCCTAAATAACTTAGTGAGACCCTGTCTCAAAATAAAAAAGGGCTGGGATGTGGCTTATTGGGAAAGTTCTAATGATTTCAATCCCCAGTACCAAAAAAAGGGGGGGTGGTGGTGAATAGCTTGGTACAAGTGAGAAAAAGACAAAGAAGGTGATTTGTTGAAAAACTGACTAGAAAAATTTTAGCAAAAGTTTGCAAAGAAATTAGAAAGACTCAAAGGTAGCACTGATGGTGACCCTCCAGTATAACATTAAAAAAAAAATGTGTTATTATTAAAGAGGATTTTTAGGCCATCAATAGCTGATCATGACTTGAAATTTTATAGTAAGTCCACCTGTGTGATAAGAACAAAGTTTTGGATACATAAATACAAATTGCTGGGACCAGGGAAAATAAGCAAGAATAATGGATAGCTGGTTTGCTGTGTAAGAGTACCCAAAGCCCCTGTATCTGATTCTGAATGATAGCAGCATTAAAGATAGCATGTACCACCATGCCTATAATCTCAGCCACTCAAGAGACTGAGGCAGGAGGATTACGAGTTCAAACCCAGCCTCAGCAACTTAGTGAGGCTCTAAGCAACTCAGCAAGACCTTGTCTCTAATAAAAGATATAAAAGGGCTGGGGATGTGACTCAGTGGTTAAGCACCCCTGGCTTCAATCCCTGGTACCAAACTCCCTACCCACCCTCAAAAAAAAGCCCAGAATAAAAGATAAATTGGTCATAGTATACATCTAAAAGTAAAAACATTATCTGTTAAATTGCAGCATCTTTGCAGCAATTGTAATTATATTCGTTAAATAGGGGTTATTAAAACAAAGTTGACTAATTGTAATTGTTTACAACACTGGTAGCATATGCATTTATGTAGGAATTTTTGTGCTGTTTGGATATTAGCATTTCATTTTTCATAAAGGAAGAGGAATGGTTTATCTCTTCAGAATCTGACTTAATGGAAACATTTGTCAGGTCTGGACATTTAATATTTCTTTAGATCAAGATTTTTAAATTTATCTTCAATTTGGGTGAGTTATGAATATATTTTTTAGAAATCCAAAATATCTCATATAAAGCAGGAAATAATCCATTTTGCCTTTTTAACATTTCCTTTCTTCTGTGGTTGAGTGGTTAGAGCTGTGCACAAGTTCTTGTCTGTCAAATTAAAAAGCAAATTTACTCATGTTAGTTTATAATTTAGTTATTAGGTCTCATTAGTTTAAGATTCAAAACTGTAGGATATGTGACTATGACTGCCCCCCTTATTTACTATATAACATCTTTGGGCAGTTAAGAGGAAGCCTAGTAAATGCAGCACTCTTCCATTATATTTGCATCTTTCACTGATATTAAAGCAAAAACATTGAAGCCCTTTGTTCAACAAGGATATAACAGAATATTTAAGATTACCAGTAGCATATTTCATCCTTTCTTCTATAGTTTTGTATGTCTTTGAATAATATTGATCAGAAAGTATATTTGAAAAGTTTCTTTTAAAATTTATTTTATTTATTTGTTTGTTTTTTGTAGTGCTGGAGATCAAATCCAGGACCTTACATGTGCTAGGGAAGTGTTTCACCACTGAGTTACACCCCCAGCTCTTTTTTTATTTTAATGTTCATGTTAATTAGACCTCTTCTATAATTAATTCAGTGCATTTAAAATAAAAATAATTTATGAGTTTAATTATTTTACTTCTGATCATTTATAGGCGAAACCTAACCAAACTGTCCCTGATCTTCAGCCACATGCTGGCAGAACTAAAAGGCATCTTTCCAAGTGGACTTTTTCAAGGAGATACATTTCGGATTACTAAAGCAGATGCTGCAGAATTTTGGAGAAAAGCTTTTGGGGAAAAGTAAGTTTCAAAATAGTAAATATGAATTATGAAAAACTGAAACTTATGAAGTTTTTGTTTACTGTTTTACTAATGAAATATTTAATATGTGAAAGAACTTTGAAAAAAACAAATATGTATACTTCCTACTTTTGATCACTGTTATTTGCCCTAATCATTTTTTTAAAGAAACAAAACTTTTACTTGAAACCTATGCTTTATGATTGATCAGTTCTGCTATTAGGAACATTTACATTTCAAATTATTTGCTCTTGTAAACAATGCTTCAATAAGCATTATCTAAGTTTCTTCAACCAAGATACCAGTTTATGTTTCTATAAGTAGTATGTCAGAGTTCTAGGGCTGGGAGTATAGCTCAGTGGTAGAGTGCTTGCCTAGTTTATGTGAGGTCCTGGGTTTGATTCTTAGCACCGGTAAAAATAAAAATAGAAATTATTTTATACATAAAATATAGACTAGTTCATAATTTTAAAAGCCTAGTTGGGGGGTTAAAGGTGTAGCTTAAGTGGTAGGGTACATGTATGTGTGAGATACTGTGTTCAATCCCCAGTATTCCGCCTGCTGCCCCATAAAAAGCCTAGTTGAAGAAGATGGGTAGAAATGTTGATTTATTCCTTTAACTCGGTAACTGCATTGAAAAAGGCTTTAAGATGTTTTTTGGTCTCTTATTTTCAGACAGGTGAATACATAAACTTTGCAAAAGCAATAAGACTGTATTTATTTAAAGATCTTAAGAACAGAAATTCATAATATCTCTTGTTAGCCTTATCTGGGGTTTAATCACTCTTAGTTTAAATAATTTCTTCATCTCTGTCAGAATTCTGTTCTTTCAGTACCATAAGCCTATTTCTTCCTATATACCTTGATAATGTGGATTCCTTGGATAATATAGAATGTTTTACATGTTTTTAAAAAGTTAGTTTAGCCAGGCACATTGGTACAAACCTATAATGCCAGCAACTCCATGAGACTGAGACAGGAGGATTTCAAGTTCAAGGCCAGCCTCGGCAGTTTAACAAGGCCCTTGGTAACTTAATGAGCTCCTGTCTCAAACTAAAAAAGAGAGCTGGGGATGTCACTCAGTGCTAAAGCATCCCTGAGTTCAATTTCCATTACCAAAAAAGAAAAAAAAAAGAAGTAAGTTTAAATACAGGCTTCTAAATAGTAAAGGTCTGGCCAGTAATTACATTTATTATATTAAAAGGATAATCTCATTTCTCTTCTTTTGTTTCTCTAATAGAGTAGATGTACCAAGAACGATGAGAAAAAGGAATTAATTTGTGCCGTTCTGTAAAAGAATAGTGGAAAAAAAACTTGTTACTAATTTACTCATTAGAGAGTTAAATATTCCTTTTTTCCCATTCTACTCTCAATCTAAAATATAACTCAAAGAATTGATATTGAGAGCTTAATGGGGCTTTTATTTTCCTTGATTATAGCAGTATCTGGAATTATCTCTTGTTATCTCAAAATTCTTTCTCTTTCACCCCACCCCCACCACAGGACAATAGTCCCTTGGAAGAGCTTCCGACAGGCCCTACATGAAGTGCATCCCATCAGTTCTGGGCTGGAGGCCATGGCTCTGAAATCCACTATTGATCTGACCTGCAATGATTATATTTCAGTTTTTGAATTTGACATCTTTACACGACTCTTTCAGGTAGGATACTAAAACATACACTAATCTTGCTGTTTCTTCTTTTCTGAAGATAAAACTTTTTTAAAACAAAAAATAAAATTTGGGGCTTTGTCTATTAAAGTGTTTTAATGCATTTAGAAACTATAGGCAGTAAATTAAAACCACCATGTATCATACACACACACACCCACACACACACACACACACACACACACATTAATTACTATACAACCTACTTTATTCCCTCAGATCTTTCTTATTGAATATTCTTTTGTATCACTTTAATGGTTATAGAAGTCCCAGAACATGGATGTATTTGTTTGGTTCTCTGTTACTGGGCATTTGTGTTATATTTCCAACTTTTCTTCTATTGTGTCCAAATTCTTTACTTTTAATATCAGTGTTTCAGAAAGAACTCATATCTTTCTCCTAAAATAATGTTTTCTCCGGTGCGTGTATGTCAACTTGCATAAGTATTTATTTGGAACTTACTGATTGCATATGAAGGCCCTATTCTATTTTCCTGACTTTTGTTTCTTGGTTAACCTCACTAGTGGAAGTTAGAATTGCTTTACAATTTCTTAAGTTTCATTTTGTATAGTTAAATTTCTCCCTATAAGCATATATTCTTCTTAGCTTTTCAAGGTTTTAGTGTCCCAAACATTTGTCTTCTTCAAAATTGACAACATAATTGAGACTTTGTGACCTTGAATTAAAAATTTATAATTGAGAATTGAAGTTGTTGTTCTGTATTCTGAGAATAGTTGTGTATCTGAATAGTCTGCGATTAATCTCTTATTTCTTTAGCCCTGGTCCTCCTTGCTCAGAAATTGGAACAGTCTTGCTGTAACTCATCCTGGTTACATGGCTTTCCTGACATATGATGAAGTGAAAGCTCGGCTCCAGAAATTCATTCACAAACCTGGCAGGTCAGTGTCATGAAGCAAAGAGGTTTATTCTCAAATTTTTCTCTTATGACTTCTAGAATAGAAGAAACATGATCTTGTTTTAGTTCACCAGTGGCCAAGATTCTGCAATAGGATTCATTCTGCTGGAATTGGCTTGCTTACATCCTATGATTTGATCAGTGTTTTCAAGCCATTCAAGAATGGGGTGTAAGGCCAGGGGCACCACCGTAAGTTCAGCTATATAGTGAGATCCTGTCTCAAACTAAAAAATGGAAAGGACTAAGGATATAGCCCAATGATAAAGTATCCTGTTTCCATTCCCAGTACCAAAAGACAAAAGAAATGGGGGTTGAGACAGCCTTTTTTCTGGTCTGGAGTTATGCTATTTGTTTTCTATAAATGTTATTTGGAGCTAAGTATTGAACTCAAATCCTCAGGTATGCACATACTTTCCCACTGAAATATATCTCCAGCCCCCTGAATATACACATACTCCCACCCCCTTTTTGGCAGTACTGGGTTTGGGGCAGAGATGGAGTGGGGGAGGTTTGACTCTTTACCACTGAGCTACATCCTCAGCCCTTTTTTATATTTTGAGACAGGGTCTCACTAAGTTACCCAGGCTGACCTCAAATGTGTGATCCTCCTGTCTCAGCCTCCCAAGTAGCTGGGATTATAGGCATGTGTCACGGCACCAGGCTTCGAGAGTTTTGTCTCCCTACCCTAGTACTATTTTTTCAACCTAGGGATGCTAAGCTACATTCCCAGCCCTTATTTTATTTTTTATTTTGAGACAGTGGTAGAGGCTGACCTCACACCTATAGTCCTGCCTCAGCCTCCTAAATACTGGGATTATAGGCATGCACCAACTTTCCCTACTGAAAAGTTATTCTTGATGGTCCTTTTGAATTTTGTCTCTAACTTGCATTCTACCCTAATACTAGAGTATATGTTAAAACTTCTTTTAATCTCTCTCCTCAGTTACATCTTCCGATTAAGCTGTACTCGTCTGGGTCAGTGGGCTATTGGGTATGTTACTGCTGATGGGAATATTCTCCAGACAATCCCTCACAATAAACCTCTCTTCCAAGCACTGATTGATGGCTTCAGGGAAGGCTTGTGAGTACTCACTGATTAATATCTCCTAGAGTCTAGGAACTTAGGGACTGTAATTTTATCATAAATGACATATTAAGATTCAGGAAACATTAGCAAATTATATTGATTTGTCCTTCAAATTCTGTAGACTTTTGTTTTTTATTTGATAGGGATTACATAAGTGAAATTGTCTTTCTCTGTTGCTTCAGTTATTACCAGGAATAAATTTGTCTTTCTCCTTTTCCAAATATTAACTTACCTGCAAATCTGCACTAGATTTGAAAATACAAAATTAGCAGGAAATTTTATCAGTTACTTGACAGCCAAAATTAAAGTGACTAGATGTTCCCAATGAGAGTAGGCAGGCTTCAGTGACCTATGTCTGTCTTTATCTTAATTTCATTTTGACTCAGCAGCTTTTCTTCAGGCTTTGACTTTTGCTAGTAAGTTCTTGTTCCAGAATTGCTATTCCTTTGGAATCAAAGTACTTATCAGTAAGTTTTAACAATACTGATTCTTTTTTTAAAAATATATTTTAGTTGTAGATGGACACAGTACCTTTATTTTATTTATTTTATATGTGGTGCTGAGAATCGAACCCAGTGCCTCACACATGCTAGGCAAGCTCTCTACCACTGAGCCACAACCCCAGCCCTAAAAATACTAATTCTTGACCATGTATTGCCTTCTATAGTTGGATTGAGTAGCCCCAAATTTCAGAGCAGTTTGATTGTAGAAGCTCCTTGGTTGATGATTTTAAGTGTCTTAATTTGTTTCTTGTTACATTCCTTTTAAATACATGTCTCCGTTTGTTCAACCTGTACACAGAAATACTTGAGGTCTTTTTAAAAAATGCAGTTTAAAAATTTATATCTTTAGGCTACCCATTGATTAAAATAGGGATTGGAAAACTATGGCCTATATGGACCAACTATTTTGGTATAGTCTGCAAGCCAAGATAGTTCTGTTTTTTAAAGTATGTTTGATATCATTTGTGTATATTAACCAGCACTGACAATTGACTTCAGTAAAACCACAAGGCTGGTTACTCTTTTTGCAGCTATTTGTTTCCTGATGGACGAAATCAGAATCCCGACCTGACGGGCTTATGTGAACCAACTCCCCAAGATCATATCAAAGTGACCCAGGTGAATTATGCTTTGTAATATAACCATATCACTGAAGCCAAGCTTTTGGATACCGTTTACAGAAAGTATAAGTTATTGAAATGTTTTAATTTTAAAATAGTAACTGGATTAATGAATGTATGTGTGAGTGGTTTCTTCTTTAAATTGTGCAGCTTTAAATGGGACCCAAGATTAGATGTTTCTGATATATAAATAAGTCTTTACTTTTTTCTTTATGTTTATAGTTACTGTCATTCAATCAACAAATAATCTCTTTAATTTTTTAATCAAAGGAACAATATGAATTATACTGTGAGATGGGCTCTACATTCCAACTGTGTAAAATATGTGCTGAAAATGATAAAGATGTAAAGATTGAGCCCTGTGGACACCTCATGTGCACATCGTGTCTTACATCGTGGCAGGTATAGATCCAAACCATGCATTTTCTCTGCTTTGAATTACTCTGAAGAATTAATTGGGTTTTATATATCCTTTATAGATACAAAGGGTGGGCTTACTTTGTGGGCTAGGCCTAAATTTTAAATCCATCCATCCATCTACTCTTCCTTCCTTTCTTCCTCCTTCTTCCTGTACTGAAGAGTAAACTCAGGGCTTTGCAAATGCTAAGCATGTGTACTTTCACTGATCTATACACTCAACCATTTGATTTCATCTTTATGTCTAGGAAATAAATTTACTAGTAGAAAAATGTATTAAATACTTTTAGATGCATTCATTACTAACTTTTGCTTTCTCTGCAGGAATCAGAAGGTCAGGGCTGTCCATTCTGCCGATGTGAGATCAAAGGTACTGAGCCCATTGTGGTAGATCCGTTTGATCCTAGAGGAAGTGGCAGCCTATTGAGGCAAGGAGCAGAAGGAGCTCCCTCCCCAAATTATGATGATGATGATGATGAACGAGCTGATGATTCTCTGTTCATGATGAAGGAATTGGCAGGTGCCAAGGTAAGACTACAATTTCAAAGACTGGCAAGTATCATTATGAACTACTTTCTACAGCCAAGGAGCACTTTATGACATCCAAACTACAAAAGGGCACTAATAGCTGGTATTTATTGAGCTCTTGCTGTAAGATACAGTGTTAAGCATTTTACTTATTTTAACTCATAATCTTTACAACAACCCTCTGAGACTATTGTTATCCTCATTTAACAATGAACCATTTGAGCCATAAAAAGAGAGGAATTTTCGAAGGATCACACAGCTAGTTAGGAGCTGCCAGACTAGCTTTAAGGCCCACATTCTTACTATATGTATCTGAGGGACTGGGTTTTAACACATATATCTTGGTGGAGAAATGGGGAAGGAAATAAAGAACTAAACCCTATTTTATATGCTACTGTAACTAGTACATGATTTTGTTTTTGTTTTTTCCTTCTATGAAGGAATCTTTCATTTGAAAGTCAGTTAAGTTGGAGAAGAAAAAAAGAGTCAGTAGTCAGATGGGTGGTAGGAAGTGCTATACCTTGTGCCCTGTAGAAGCTAAACAAACTGGAAAGGCTCTAGTAAAACAATGGGTTAATGATATGCTATAGAGTCTATACTTTAGAGTGCTATGTACTCATGGGATACATTTCTGTGATACAAAAAGCTTTCTTTTATATTAGCACATGACTACCTGATGCAAAATAGGTGCTTGATAAAAATCCTGGAAGAGTGAATTTTATCTCCCTTATTTCAGTTTCTCACCATCTTCTATTCTCCCTGCTACAAAATCGTTGATCTACAACACAAATCTGATCACCTCATCCCTTGACTTCACACTGATGTCTTCTCATTTTTTAACAACACCTTTATTTATTTATTTTTATGTGGTGCTGAGGATCGAACCCAGAGCCTCCCACATGCTAGGTGAGCACTCTACTGCTGAGCCACAAACCCAGCCCGACTTCTCATTTCTTAATGAGTGAAGTGTGTTCTCCTTTCTAGGTACCTGACCTTGATAATTTCTTTCCTCTTTATTCTTTGTGGTCCAGCAAGGCTAACTCACTTAGAATTTCTCTCTGCTTTATCTTGGCAATTTCTGTGTAATTTAAAGTATTTTGCATTGTAAAATCTCAGAAGTGAAGAGCTATCGTTTTTTGTTTGTTTTTATTTTTATTTTTTTGTGGTCCTGGAGATTGAATCTAAAGGCCCTCTGCCGTGGAGCCATCTCTCCAGCCCTTTTTATTTTATATTATGAGACCTGGTCTCACTAAAGTTGTCAAGGTGGCCTCCAGCTTGGGATCCTCTAGCTTAAGCCTCCTAGGTCACTGGGTTTCAGGTGTATGCCACCATGCCTGGCTTGGTATCTTGTTTTTAATTAGCTACTAAAGAGCTGAACAAATATTAATTACTTTCAGTGTTTGACTATAATTGATATTACATCAAGCAGAATTGGATGAATTTATTAATAGTAGATCAATAGTGAGTAATAGGAAATCTGGGCTTTCGAGTGATATATTCTTGGTATTTTGAAGGTGACAGTAGCCTTGGTCCATCACAAGACTTTGTCAAGATTTAAAGAGATTCCTTGACCCCTCCTGCATTTTTTAATTTTTTCATAGAATACTACCTGTTTATTCATTAAATGTTTACTGGCAGTCAGGGGAGGTGGCGCATGCCTGTAATCCCTGGGGCTCAGGAGGCTAAGGCAGGAGGATTGCAAGTTCAAATCTAGCTTCAGCAATTTAGCAAGACCCTGTCTCAAAATCAAAAATAAAATGGGCTGAATCAATAAATGGAGTGGACTCAAACTAAAAAGTTTCTTCTCAGCAAAAGAAACAAATCTGTGAGGTAAATAGAGAGCCTACATCTTGGGAGCAAATCTTTACCCCTCACACATCAATAGAGCACTAGTCTCTAGGGTATACAAAGAACTCAAAAAGCTAAACACACACACACAAAAACAAACAAACAAAAAAAAACAAATAACCCAATCAATAAATGGGCCAAGGACCTGAAGAGACACTTCTTAGAAGATGATGTACAATCAACCAACAAATACATGGAAAAATGTGATGACTAGGAATTAGAGAAATGCAAATCAAAAACACTCTTAAGATTTCATCTTACTGCAGTCAGAATGGCAGCTATTATGCATTCAAACAATAATAAGTATTGGCAAGGATGGGGGGGAAAAGGCACACTCATAACACTGCTGGAAGGACTGCAGATTGGTGCAGCCAATATGGAAAGCAGTATGGAAATTTCTTGGAAAATTAGGAATGGAACCACCATTTGACCCAGCTATCCATCTCCTCAGTCTATACCCAAAGGACTTAAAAACAGCATACTACAGGGACACAGCCACATCAATGTTTATAGCAGCACAATTCACAATAGCTAAACTGTGGAACCAACCTAGAAGCCCTTCAGTAGATGAATAAATTTTTTTAAAAAAATGTGGCATATATACACAGTGGAATATTACTCAGCAATAAAAAAGTATAAAATCATGGCATTTGCAGGTAAATGGATGGAGTTAGAGAAGATAATGCTAAGTGAAGTTAGCCAATCCAAAAAAAACAAATGCTGAATTTTTTGTTTTTTTTTTTTTGTTTTTTTTTTAATATAAGGAGACTGATTCATAGTTGGGTAGGGAGTGGGAACATGGGAGGAACTCTAGATAGGGAAGAGGGGTTGGAGGGGAAGAGAGAGGGCATAGGTTTATTAATGATGGTAGAATGTGATGATCATTATTATCCAAAGTACAGATATGAAAACACAAATTAGTATGAATATATTGTGTACACAACCAGAGATATGAAAAATTGTTCTCTATATGTGTAATATGAATTGTAATGCATTCTGCTGTCATGTAAATAAAAAATACTATAAATAAATAAAGTGGGCTAGGGATGTGGCTCCGTGGTTAAGCACCCCTGGGTTCAATTCCTGATACCACACAAAAAAAATAAAGAGGTGTATTTATGTATTATTTGAAATTAAAATGCCCTTTTTTCTTCATGGAATTATTAATGTGGTGCTGAGAATTGACCCCACGCATCACGCATGCTAGGCAAGCATTCTACTACTGAGCCACAACCGCAGCCCCTAGTTCCATCTTTTTGATTGACAATATCTGTTAAAATTTAATGTTTGACTTGAGCTGGATAGGGTAGTATATGCCTGTAATCCCAGTGACTCAGGAAGCTGAGGCAGGAGGATTCTAAGTTCAAGGCCAGCCTCAACAATTTAGCCTGAGTTTAATTTCTTGCAGTTATGAGATTAAGAGCCCATGTTCTTTGGTGGTTTTCAGCTAATGAAAACCATTGTCACATTCTAGGGTCCTGCCACATTCTTTGGCTTTGGGGCCCTTTTATCCCTTTTTCAGACCTTTTTGTGGACTGCTTTTAATAATGATTTGTGGGCTTAGCTTGGGCCCATCTGGATAACTTAAGATATTTCTCCCATGTTGACATTTAAATCCTTAATCAAGGAAATTTCTTTTATCAAGTTAAGGTCATATATTCACAGGTTGTGGGGATTAGGGGAATCATTGTTCTGCCCACCATATAATGCCATGCTCTGAAGAATGAGTTCAGTTTACTCAACTGGAAAGCTGTTTAATGTGCATTAAGTTTTAAAAGCACCTATAGACTTGTGATGTAGTTCAGTGTTAGCACTTGCCTAGAATGTGAAAAGCCTTGAGTTCCATCCCCAGCACAGCTAAATAAACCTTAAAAAAAAAAAAAAAAGAAGAAGAAGAAGAAGAAGTGAGGAGGGCAACTATATATACTAGGTATAATATGATCTCATTTCTCTGAAAATTTTTACTTATAAGTTTTTTTTTAATATACTGTTTTAGTCAGCTTTTTTGTTGTGACTGAAAGACCTGGCAAGAACACAATTAGAGGAGGAGAAGTTTATTTTGGGGCTCATGGTTTTAGAGGTGTTAGTCCATAGATGGCTGACTTCAATTCCTCAGGGCCCAAGGCAGGGCAGACCATCATGGTGAAAGAATGTGGTGGAGGGGACTGGGGATATGGCTCAAGCGGTAGCAAGCTCGCCTGGCATGCGTGCGGCCCGGGTTCGATCCTCAGTACCATATACAAAGATGTTGTGTCCGCCAAAAACTAAAAAATAAATATTAAAAAATTCTCTCTCTCTCTCTCTCTCTCTCTCCCCCTCTCTCTTTAAAAAAAAAAAAAGAATTTAAAAAGTGGCTCAAGACATCTTACCAAGAAACAGAGAGAAAAAGGAAGGGAGGGAGGGAGGGAGAGGTGCAGGCAGGGCAGAACATCATGGTGAAAGAGTGTAGTAGAGGAAAGCATTTCAAGACATCACACCAGGAAGCGAGGAGTGGGTGGGGGGAGATGCTCCACTCTTCAGGGATAAAATATATGCCCCAAAGGAATGCCTCCAATGACCCACCTCCTCCAGCCACACTTTACCTGCCTATAGTTAATGCCCATTTAATCCCCCCTCAGGAGCATTGATGAGGTTAAAACTCTCATAACCCAAACATTTACCTCTATGATTTCCTGCATTGTCTCACACAAGAGCTCTTTGGGGACATTTAATATCTAAACTGTAACATAAACATAGGGAAAAAATTGGATGACTACACACCAAATTACTGTTATTTCTGAGGATAGAAGTTCTAAGTACTATAATTTTGTGGAATACAGTATTTGCAATTTTTTACAATTAGCAAATGTTAGTTTTGCAATGTGTTTGTTGTCTAGATAAGTAATTTACTGTGAAGTGCTGAATAGGACCAGAAAGCTAGAACAAGGCTCTTAAAGAGTAGAAGACTTTATTTGGGAATAGAATATAGAGGCAGGTGAAACACTGTTCAACACAAGGGAGACAGTGAACTTTATTCAAAATTGTTAGGTATGTAATCTTTAAGTAAATAACCTTTTTGTTGAAGAAAAAAGAAATGAACATTTTCCCCCTAGCTGTGTAGAAATTCAAATTGAGAAGAAACAGCCTCATGTATGGATTGTCATTTGACTATTCCATAATTCAGTCTCTTCTTAAGGGACATGTTGATTCTAGGCTCCTACATACTGGCATATTTTGCAATCTGTCTGTAGGTAAATTTCTAAAAGTGGAACTGCTGTATAAAAGAAGGTATAGAGCAGGGTACACTGGTACACACTTGTAATCTCAACTGCTCCTGAGGCAGAAGGATCATAAGTTTGAGGGCTAGCCTGGGCAGCTTTGCAAAAATATCTCTCCAAAATAAAACAAAAAAAGAAGGACTGGGGAGTCCCCAGTCCTTCTTTTTTTGTTTTATTTATTTATAGCTCAGAACTAGAATACTCCTGGGTTCAGTCTCCAGGACCTCCCATCTCCCACAAAACAAAACAAAAAAACAGGTATGTATATTTAAACTCTATATGATAGAGGAGAGGGATGTAATCAGGGGAGGGGCACATGGGTATTTCATAAAATCAGTGGTATTTTATTTCTCAACTAAATGGTGGTTATGTGGATATTTTTGTTTTTTTGTACCTTGTGATTCATTGTATACTTTATGAATAAAATCTTTGAGTGAAAGTAATTAACTTTGGGGTAGATTTTTAAAATTTGTCCCAATTTATTTGTCCCAAAGTCATTCCTAAAGATGTATGAAAATATGAAAGTGCCTGTTTCTCCGCATCCTGATGGTAGTTTGTTATAATTTGTGGTGTGTGTGTGTGTGTGTGTGTGTGTGTGTGTGTGTGTGTTGGAACTGGGTTATCTCTACCACTGAGTTACATCCCCAGCCCTTTTTTATTTTTAAGACATGGTCTTGCTGAGTTGCTGAGGGTCTCACTAAATTGCTGAAACTGACGTCGAAATTTAGATCCTCCTGACTCAACCTCCTCAGTCACTGGAATTACAGGCAACACACCACTGTACCCAACTCCTGTCTCCCCATTTCTGAACCATACACTTGTATTACTTTCTCTTGATTATTATCTGTTCACCCCAGATGAACAGAAAAGGACATAATATCTCTCATTATGTCCCTCCTTTCTACTCCATAACCACTTACTCTAGTTGTTTGAATAGGTTATTTGAAGGGTTTTGCGTAAATCAGTATTCAGTGTCTAAATGATTTTGCTCCCTATTGTACCAGTTAGTATACTATACTGTAATTACTTTTGCTTTCTTATACAACCTTCTGCTTTTCCTGGAATAATTCATTTTTATTCCCCTACTTTTCAGTTTGTACCTGTCACTACCAAGGCATACCATGCTTTCAGGAATCCCCTCAGTAAGACTGTCTATGATGTAAATTCTAGTAGTCTGCTGTATATAGTAGACAGTATACTGATACATATGGTATCCCTGTTCCCAGGGCCTCACACATGCTAGACAAACACTTTCCCTCTGAGTACTGTACCCCTAGCCCTATCCTTTTCTTTTTATATGGGTTCCAGTTTTAATCTCCAAGGATTAAGAGACAGAAAATCGTAGTTTTTTTAAAATTTATAATAAGCTAGGAAAGTTTCTGTAACACTGTCTTTCTAGATGCATTTGCTTGTAGTTTTGCCGTCTGCATGGTATTTCTGTGATTGAGAGTGCCCTCTTGTGATACAAAAAGTAGTTCTGGACATGTTAGAATCTCAGGAAGTTTCTGAGTTGTAAAGAGAGGTTTGTGTGATCCTAAGCTTAAGTCTGCCCCATTGGTTATTATATTACATAGTCACATAATATTTACCATCTTGGTTCCCTGAAAAAGACTAAACTGTTAAATTTCAATGGTTCTAGGTGGAACGTCCTCCTTCTCCATTCTCTATGGCTCCACAAGCTTCCCTTCCCCCAGTGCCACCACGACTTGACCTTCTGCAACAGCGAGTATCTGTTCCTTCAAGTACTTCTGGTCTGGGAACTGCTTCTAAGGTAAAGCATTATCCATTTCTATAGTTTTCTGATTCTTTATTGTGCATTAGTGGGTTTTGATTGATTTGCTTCTGTTTTGCTTCCACAGACTGTTTCTGGCTCCCTTCACAAGGACAAACCGTTGCCAATACCTCCCACACTTCGAGATCTTCCCCCACCACCTCCTCCAGACCGGCCATATTCTGTTGGAGCAGAGGCCCGGCCTCAGAGACGCCCCCTGCCTTGTACACCAGGCGACTGTCCATCCAGAGACAAACTGCCCCCTGTCCCCTCTAGCCGCCTTGGGGACTCATGGCTGCCCCGACCAATCCCCAAAGTACCAGTAGCTACTCCAAGCCCTAGTGACCCCTGGACAGGAAGAGAATTAACCAACCGGCACTCACTTCCATTTTCTTTGCCATCACAAATGGAGGCCAGAGCAGATGGGCCTAGGCTTGGAAGCACATTCAGTCTGGATACCTCCATGGTGAGCCCTGGTTTTATTTAGCCTAGTTTTATTTATTTTATTTTATATGGTTAACAAATATCTGTGAGTATCATTTTATAGATCTAAGTTTTTTGATAGGCTTTGTACAGAATAACAGGTAATAAAACATAATCCCTGTTTTCAAGAAATGTATATGTTCACCACTGAGCCATATCCCCAGCCCATATGTATGTACGCATGTTTTGAAGGCAAGGTCTCCCTAGGTTGCTCTCAGCCTCTTGAGCTGCTGGGATTACAGGCATGCACCAATGCTCCTAGCTAGTTGTTTTTTTTGTTTTTTTTGGTTTTTTGTTTGTTTGTTTGTTTTGGTTTTTTGTTTTTTTTTGGTGGGGAGGGGGTTGGTAGTTTTTTACAGGAAAAAAGAACAAGCAAAACTGACTATACATACCTAAGGCATGGGAGTATTAGGATCTGGTCTGAATATAGTTTCAAGATAGATCAGAAGTATAACAGAAAGGCTTAAGGCATATTGTGGAATGATATGTAGAGCGAAAGTGTATATTGGATCAGGAGAAAGGGCTAGAATGGAGCAATAACACTACATTATAAGGTCTTGAATACTCCCAAAAGAATTTGAATTTATTTCATAGGAAATGAGAACATTTAAAGGTTTAAATTAGTACAATGATGTGACCAAAATGATGGATTAAAGAGAATAATCTAATAGTAGGTTGCAAAGTAGATTAGAAAAAAGACAGGTTAATAATCCTTTGTCTAAGCATTCAATAAAGGGTTCGGAGCTGGGGGATGGGAGAGGAGGAATATTTGTAATTTATTGATTCATTTGTGCACCCGGGAAAAAAGATCTTGCTTTCACAGATTTATTTTCTAGCCAGAGAAAGATAAAATAAACAAGTGAGTAAAATATATAGTAAGTTTGTAATGATAAGGGCCATGGAAAAGAACAGCTCAAAGAAGACTATAGAGAGAGTTGAGTGAAGGTAGATAGTACAGGATGGGGTGGGGTATAATTCTTAGCAAAGAACTGAGCAGTAGAAAGGTGATCCTGAGGGAAGACCATTCCAGGATGAAGGGAGAAGAAGTGAGTTTGAAAGGGTATGTTTAAAAAATAAAGGGATATAGGCTGAGGTTATAGCTCAGTGGTAGAGTGCTTGCCTAGCATGTGTGAGGTACTGGGTTTGATTCTCAGCACCACATATAAATAAATAAAGGTCCACAGACAACTGTGAGTGAGTGTGTATGTATATACATACATACGTATTAAAAAGTTAAATAAAGGAGAATAATATAGATGGTACCAAGCAAACAAGTGGAATAGTCATTGTCTCTGAACAGAAGTGGCAGCCAGATTAGGTGGAGCCTTTAGAGAGCACGAAATAGGCGTAAATCGGGAAGCTAGCAGTATGTGGAAAAGGCAAGAAATCACATGCACGTGTACTCCAAGGTTTTGGAACTGGTAACAAGACATGTTGAATTTGAAATGGACCTTTTTAAAAAATTTTTTTAGATATTGATCAGCCTTTATTTTATTTATGTATTTTTATGTGGTGCTGAGAATTAAACCCAGAGCCTCACACACACCTCAGCTGAGATGGACATTTGATAGAAGTGATTAGGTGGTTGGAAATCTGAACAGACAAAATGGGAAGGATGGAGTTGTGAAATGTCTTGGCACTTGACTATTTCTTGGTTGTAAGGAAAGATACTTGTAACCAAGTAATACTTAAATGGTACCTGTGTGCCTGGCAGTCTAATTAGAATGGATAGTTGTGACTTTCTGGTGGTATCAATACTGAATGACCATTTTGAGTTTGTATATCCATCATTTAAGCTAGAAATAATATTTGTGTAGATAACCAATTTTCTTAAATCTTTTTAGAATTAAAACAATCTGTTTATCTGGCTCTTTTTAAATCTGTCTCCCTCTCCCTTACATTTGAAAGTTCTTCAAAGCCTGACAGCAATGATGTTTTTGTCAGAGGTAATAACCTGTAGGCATGGCATTGATTAGTGAGGTCCCTGTTTGTATTATCATTCTTGTGATTTTGAAAAGGTTCAGTAAGAGGACATACTTAGCTATCCTAAGAAGATTCTTTTCAACACTTTTCTTTACTTTCCAGAGTATGAATAACAGCCCATTAGCAGGTCCAGAGTGTGAACACCCCAAAATCAAACCTTCCTCTTCTGCCAATGCCATTTATTCTCTGGCTGCCAGGTAAGTTTATTAAAGCTGTATTTCATTCACTGGAGTTAGTACTTTTAAACTGTTCGTTTGTAGAAAATCCAGAAAAGTGTAGAGGGAAATAAAAATTGCTTTGTAGTTGTACAGTGTAGAAGTCATCATGTTTTGTTTTGGAATTTGTCTTTCTATTCTTTTTACTGTGTTTATAGATCTTTCTTGCTGGGCTTGTCACATGTATTTTTTCAAGAAAGCAATTTTGGTTCTGTTGATTTTTCTTTAAAAAATTCTTGCTGGGTGTCAGTTTTCTGTTTCATTGCTTTCTGACTTTCTAATTTTTTCCCCTCCAGTTCTGGGCATTGAGCCTAGGATTTTGCATACTGAGCTACATCCCTAGTTTGTATTTTTTATTTGAGGACAAGATCTCACTAAGGTGCCCAGGCTGGCCTTGAGGTTGTGATCTTCCTACCTTAGCTTCCCAAGTAGTTGGATTTATAGGCATACATGTACTACCATGCCCCACCTCTTCTTTTTCTTTTAAATAATGGTTTCAATATGTTGTCCAGGCTGGTCTTAAACACATGAGCTCAAATGATCCTCCTGCTTCAGCCTCCCAAATAGCTAAGATTACAGGCATCTGCCACTGTTCCAAGCTTTTACTCTTCCAACTTTCTTCAGGCTTAATTTACTATTTTTCTAACATCATGAAATGGATTCTGTGTTTTTTGTTTTTTGTTTTTTAAGAGAGAGTAAGAGAGAGAGAATTTTTTAATATTTATTTTTTAGTTTTCGGCAGACACAACATCTTTGTATGTGGTGCTGAGGATCGAACCCGGGCCGCACGCATGCCAGGCGAGCGCGCTACCGCTTGAGCCACATCCCCAGCCCCAGGATTCTGTGTTATTCTGCTTGAGCTGCCATAACAAAATACCAAAGACTGGATGCTTTAAACAGTGGAGATTTATTTACTGTTTAAATAATTCTAAAAAGATTTAAGAAAATTGGTTATCTACACAAATATTATTTCTAACTTAAATGATGGCTACACAATTCTGGAGGCTGGAAATCTGGGATTAGTTTCTGGTAAGGTTCCATGTTCAAATATAACTGGGTATGAGGGCTTGAACATGTGAATTTTGGGAAGGACACAAACATACAGTTCATAACAAGTGTTTAGCTGCATTCCACAAATTTTGATGTCATTTTCATTATTTTTTTTAATTTTTTTTAATTGTTGATGGACCTTTATTCTTTAAATTTGGTGCTGAGAATCAAACCTAATGCTCAACCCCAGCCTCCATTTTCATTTAAGTTCAAAATATATGATTTTTCTGTTGTTAATAATTCTTGAGTTATTTATGTGTTACTCAATTTTCAAATATTTAAAGATTTTCTATTTTTCTGTTCTGCTTTCTGGCTTCATTCTAATGTGGTTAGAGACCATCTTCTTTATTGACTAGTTTGTGGTAAGATCCAGTAATATGTGTCACCTTTATCTCATAAGATTGTATATTCTGCAGTTGTTGGGTATAGCATTCTGTACATGTTAGTGAAGTTGTGATCAAATCTTTTATTACTCAGATTTTTAACAATCTACCTATTCTATATTTTCAGATAACTGAAATGAGTTTGTTGAATTCTCCTCTATAATTGTGAATTTCTCTTTGTTCCTTTTAATTCTGTCCTTTTTTATTACATGTGTATTTAGTTTGTGTAATAATAGAAATTTAAAATTATTTATAGTAAATGGTGAGCATTTTTATTATCCTTAAATCTTATGTTTACTCAGTAGTTCTGTTTCTTGCTTAAGTTTGCTTTTTCTTAATTAAAATGGCTTACATCAGCTGTCTTTTAGTTAGTATTTCTATGACCTTTCTCTACTCTTTTACTTTCAATTTTTCTATGACCTTTAAGGTATGTTTCCTGCAAGCAGTATATTTTGGGTTTTTCGTCCCTTAAATCCAGTCTGGCATTTTTGATCTTGAAGTAATCAGAATATTTGTTCTTACTCTTCTCCCCATTTTTCTAATCTTTTCTTGGTTCCTTTTTTCATCTTTTTTTTACTTTCTTTTGTATTAAAGGTTTTTTCTTAGCCATTTCATCCCTTCGGTTATTCTTTTAATATTTATTCTGGAGAGCTGGGCATGGTGGTATACACCTGTAATCCCAACAACTTAGGAGGCTGAAGCAGGATGATCACAAGTTTGAGGCTAGCCTGAGCAATTTAGTGAAACGTTGTCTCACAATAAAAATGAAAAGGGCTAAAGGTATAGCTCAGTGGTAAGCATTCCTGAGTTCAGTCCTTGATACCCAAAAAAAAAAAAAAAAAAGTTATCCTAGAGATTCCAACATGTACTCTTGATTTGTTAGAATATGCTTTAAATCAGCGTCTCCTGATACTTGTGGACATTTAAATTTCTCTTGGATTTATCCTACAGTGCTCCTTACTTGTTCCTGCTGTTCTCTGAATGCTTTCCATCTCCCTAAAAAACTTTCTTTAGTGTTTGTGTGTGCTTACATGTGTGATTGTGTGTTTAGTGCTCTTCTATCAGTTGATTCAAATTTTGTTTGACTGAAAATATCTTCATTGCACCCCCTCCCCCTGTACTGAGTATTAAACCCATGGTGCTCTACCACAGAGCACCAGCATCTATGCCCAGCCCTTTTTATGTTTTATTTTGAGACAACATCTTCCTGAGTTTTCCAGGCTGGCCTCAAACTTGTAGCCTTCTGCATAAGCTGGGTTTTCAACACATGCCGCCACGCCCAACTTTATTTTTTTTCTTTTTGGAAGAACTGGGGATTGAACCCAGGGGGTGCTTTACCAGTGAGTTCCATTTTTACATTTTAAAAAAAATTTATGACAGGGTCTCACTCTATTGCTGAGACTGGCCTTGATCTTGCAATCCTCCTGCCTCAGCCTTCTGAGTAGCTGAGATTATAGGCCTGTACCAGCACAACTATCTCTCAGCCAATATTTCTTAAAACAGATTGAACTTTGTAATCTTTCTTTATCTGGGCCTCTAATTTCTTGAACATCATCAGATTCTTTCACTGTCTTCTACCGATCATTATAGGCTTGCTTGCATATTTTCCATTCTCTTTTCTCTTTACATTAATCTGAATGGTTTTTACTGCATTCCAGTTCCTGAATGTTCTCTTCTGCTGTTTCTAATCTGCTCTAAATACAACCATTAAATTTTTATTGTGTTTAAGTTCTAGTATTTCCATGTGATTTTTAAAAATTTATTGATTCCAGTTTTCTAACAAAATTCTTTATTATCTTGTTTCTTGAACATATGAATTATAATTATTTTAAAGGCTGTATCTGATAACTGTAGTTCTGACTCTAGAGATTAGCAAGACGACCACAGTAACTGTTTGGCTCTTCAGTTGCTCACGACTACCCGCTTGATTTCTCAGAATCTAGCCCCATGCATGAAGAATTTAGGGATTAGTAATAGCTTTTGGAAATTACAGGCAGAATTTTAGGCCTACTTCTTTGCTATTTCCTTCCCTAGGATTTTTTTTTTTTTAAGTTGTAGATGGACACAATGCTTTTATTTTTATGCAGTGCTGAGGATTGAACCCAGTGCCTCACATGTGTTAGGCAAGTGCTCTACAGCTGAGCCACACTGAGGATTTTTGGCTCCCCACATCTTGGTTGTCATGACACCTCAAAATTCCAGTCTCTCTCCCTAATCCATTGAGATCTACTTCAAATCCCAAATTCGGAACTCCAAATTTGAGGCTTGCTTCAGTGTCATCATCATCGTTGTCATCGTATCGTCATTGGCATTGTCTTTGATGTTTCTTTTTTTTTAGTTGCAGATGGACACATACCTGTATTTTATTTATTTTTATGTGGTGCTGAGGATCAAACCCAGTGCCTCATATGTGTTAGGCAAGAGCTCTGCCACTGAGCCACAACCCCAGCCCTGTATTCTTCTTGAATCTTGGTCTCTGAAGTTCTGGTTTCCTGGTTACTCTCCAGTACTTTTTTTTAAAGTATATATTGCCAAAATACTTTGTGACAAGGAAATACATTTTATACTTTTATGGACTTCATCAAAGAGATGGGAGGAAGGGGTGCTGGGGGTAGAACTCAGGGTCTTTTGAATGCTAGGCAAGCGCTCTGCCACTGAGCTCTACACTGCAGCCCTAAAGTATTTTTGGATAGCTCTCTTAATGGGACTTCTTTTTTGTTAATTTTAGAAAACATAGATAAGCAATACTGAAGGAATAAGAGTTATCTGTAATCTTACTACCTAGAGTCAAATAGTAATTATTCACAATTTGATATATGTTCTTTGTTATTCGTATGTGTATGGAATCATCATTGAGGCTGGCTTTCGCTAGACATATTTGAACATTTTTGCATGTCATTACATATTCTTCTTCTATGTTGATTATTTTAGATTATTGTCAAGCAGTATGACTGACTCTAGGGGAACCCTGATTTGTAAGATAAGGATAGGTCTATGGTAGTGGAAGCAAAAGTAGGCTGTAGCCTCTTAGGTCCTGAGTAAAACCTCTAAAGGCCCCAAGAGCCAACAATTGGCACCAGCTCTCTTACTCTCTGTGTGGGTCAAAGTCTACTTATTCAGTACGCTATTATTGGATATGTAGGTTGTACCACCACCACCACCACCACCCCGTGTTATAGGTAATGCTGTCATGAGTATTCTTGATTGCTTCCCAAGGGAAAACTCTTAGAAGTGGAATTTCTGAGCCCCAGGATGCACATGTGATGAAATGCTTTTGTCGAATCATACTACAGAAAAGTTGTAACAGCTTGTTTCTACAGCTATATATACTCATTTATTTCCTTACACTTTTGCTGACCTTGGTCTTTTCCACTTGTTAAAAATTACGAACTGAGCTAGGCGTGGTGGTGCATGCCTGTAATCCCAGCTGCTTAGGAGGCTGAGGCAGGAGGATCACAGGTTCAAATCCAGCCTCAGCAACTTAGTCCTTAAGCAACTTAGAGAGACCCTGTCTTAAAATCAAGGGATAAAAGGGGGGGTGATAGGGATGTGGCTTGGTGGTTTAGTGCCCCTGGGTTCAATCCCTAGTACCACCCAAAAAAAAAGGAAAAAATAATTACAAACAGAATAAAAGTGAAAGAATCCTAGACTGAACCCACCACCCGAATTCAAATTTTAGTTGTTTTTTTTCCTATATCACATTATCTGTGTTTCATCCATTGCTCTCTCTTGGTTGTTTGTGTATTTCAAAGCAAATTGTAGATACTAGCACACTTCTGCTTAAGTCTTCAGCATGCATTGCATAAATCTTAAGAGAATATTTGCTGAATTTTTACGAGGCATACATAAGGGAAGTTTTTCAACAATAAAAGTGGTAGGTAGACATAAGAAAAAATCTCACATGAGATTTGATTGGAAAATTAAACATTAAATAAAGAGGGACAAATAAATGCAAGAGGTAGTCTTTGTAGAGAATTTAGAATATGCTAACAAAAAGTGTAAAGAAAAAGAGAGGAGAAACTCAAATTCATACTCTAAGAGGCAATTTGTATGTGTGTCTGTTTCTTTTTTGGGGGCCAAGGGAGTACTGGGAATTAAACCCAGGGGCACTTAACCACTGAGCCTCATCCCCAGCCCTTTTTAAATTTTATTTAGAGATAGAGTCTGACTGAGTTGCTTAAGGCCTCAGTCTCCCGAGTCACTGGGGTTACAGGTGGGTGCCACTGTGCCCAGCAGTGTGTGATTCTTACACAAAATTGATTGGTGTTTTGTCTTCTTTCATAGGGTAGGATGGCAATTTTGTTTCAAAAGCTTCTGGGTAAAGAATTATGTATGTTTAAAAAAAAAAAAAAGTTATGTATGTAAGACCAAGATCCCTGAAATCAGAAACTTGGGATCTAGTCCCAAAATTGATGGTTAACTACCAAGTTACTTTTTTTCCTCTTTTTATTTTAGATTTTTTTATGTCAAATATTGAAGAGAAAAAGTATTTATACTCCAAGGTAATTTGTGAGAAAGATTTGGACAAGCTATGTATTCTTTGAAACCATGGGTAGACTTTAGAATTAGAATTTGATATACATTCCTAGCATGTGAAGAAATGCCACCTGCCATTTCTTATTTGACACCCAGTGAAAAAAAAACTAAGGTAGTAGCTTTAAAACTGAGACACTATAATGGAACTTATTTGGAGGTTGGAACTAACTGGTGGTATGGCCGTAACTTAGGTATCTATCTCAATGTGATACATCTCAAAACATAAGAGCCACACCTTTGGTCATTTGAGCATAGTGTTTTTGGTGTGCTTTTTGCTTATCTCCTATCTTACCAGTAGAAACAGTAGTTTCTTAGATGGCATGTATTTGTTCTGTCAAATTTGAGTTGTATCTGTTTTGAAACTGTTTATTTCATATTGGAAACTTTTCCAGCTATTGATTCTTTTTTCTTTTTTAAAAAATTTATCTTCCAGACCTCTTCCTGTGCCAAAACTGCCACCTGGGGAGCAGGGTGAGAATGAGGAGGACACAGAATATATGACTCCCTCTTCTAGGCCAATAGGGCTCCAAAAGCCAGAACCAAAACGGCCTTTGGAGGCAACCCAGAGTTCACGGTAAGTTCACAACAACCATGTAGGGTCAGATACCTTTATGTGGATAATTCAGTTGACATCCCTCACCTGCTTCACTTGCAAGTATGTACTGTTAGCCAGCCAGAAGTAACAGCAGAAAGATAAATCTGGTCCCTAAAATCTCTTGAAGCAATAAACAGTACAACTTACATTAGTATCACAGTAACTTCCAAAACACGAATTATCTGTATCTTGTAACAAGAGTTGATCTTAAAACATTTACTAGTTATTTTGGTACAAGGAGAATATGTTGTCTTTAGAGGATCAGGGTCTAGGGTAGTCTCAATAGGTTGTAGGTAACGTTTATTTCCAAAGATCATTTTGCTTCTTCCTTCTGGTTCAGAGTATGTGATTGTGACCTGCAGATTGATAGCTGTACCTATGAAGCAATGTATAATATTCAGTCCCAGGCGCCATCTGTCACCGAGAACAGCACCTTTGGTGAGTTGCTTCTCTGCTACTTAAAAATCAGTGATGTGCCAGAGGAATGAACCTATAATATTTAACTAATGAGATAGCTTGACCTACAGAGAAAATTATTACTAAAGATTACTAAAATCTTTTCTTTTTTGGATCAGGGATTGAACTCAGGGGCACTTGACCACTGAACCACATCTCCAGTCCTATTTTATATTTTATTTAGAGACAGGGTCTCATCGAGTTGTTTAGTGCCTCGCTTTTGTTGAGGCTGGCTTTGAACTCACGATCCTCCTGCTTCAGTCTCCAAGCTGCTGGGATTATAGGCACACACCACTGTGCCCAGCTATTTTGAGTAATCTTATTTGGCAAAACAAGGTGGGGCAGTCACCTCCCTTTTTTATATCCTTTCCACACAGCTAGTTCCTTTTGTGATTTTTCGTTCTCCCAAGACCTAGAGACATTTGAATTATATGGCCTAGTCCTGCAATGCTGGCAGACTCTTTTATTCCCATTGCATTGATGAAATTTTTGTGTGTGGGGATGATACATGCTCAATTCCCATGCTAACTAGCTTACCAAGTTGAAAGTTCAAATAAGCCTGCACACATAGGTCGCTTTGGCTGATCTCCTGAGGTGAAGTGCAGATAAAATTGCTATAAAATTGCACTTGAGTCTTTGGAATCAGTAGTTTCTAACCTTACAAGAGTGATCTTTGACAGGTTCATACAGAGCTACAGAATTCGTACACATTTTATTTTTTTGTTTGTTCTGTCACCTTCAATAGTGTCTCATATCGGTGTCCAGCCTGCAGTAGACATTGAGTACTTATTAAATGAAGTAAATGTGTGTGTGTGCATGAATGAATAGATGCTTCTGGGTTAAAATGTGTTAGAAGTTGAGTTATGTCAGAAGAAGATAATTTTATGAACTTTTCTCCAGGTGAAGGGAATTTGTCTACAGCCCACACCAACACTGGCCCTGAGGAATCAGAAAATGAGGATGATGGATATGATGTCCCTAAGCCACCTGTGCCAGTTGTGCTGGCCCGCCGAACTCTCTCAGACATCTCTAATGCCAGCTCCTCCTTTGGCTGGTTGTCTCTGGATGGTGATCCCTCAACAAGTGAGTCTCCAGGCTCCCTTGGGCCTATCCTGAATTGCTGTCTAGCTCCTAATTTATACTGAAACAGATATACTGTCTTCTCATGGCAGTAAGTCAGTAAGTAGTAGTGGTAGACTAAATAAATCCTGTGTCTGAATGGAAGAAAAGCTGGTTCTAGAACTCAAAGTAGGAAATGAAAGTAATCAGGCTCTTCAAGTTTTTGCCAGACTTAGATTTGAGGTTGTCCTTAAAATATGGCTCCTCCCATTCTGGGAGTAGGTAGGGTTTCTAGCTCTTCTGAGTAGGCCTGTGACAGAAGTAATTAAGCTTGATGGTTCAGACCACACATTCCTTTTTCCTGGCCCTGGCCCACTGGGAAGGAGGCATGCTGCCCTGGAACACAAACAAAATGGGCCAAGAGCCAGCCCACATTGAGCCTTGACTGTTGGGGCTCAACAGCACCTGTGGCAGCAGCCAGAGTTGCTGTCACTTTGGAAGTTGAAGAGAGCTTTCAGGACAGCTGGTGAAAAAGATCTACAGCATCCAGTTGCCTAAACAAGTGGTGATCACCACTCAACCTGGCTTAAACCATCTTCACTGCAACTTAGGCTAATTTCTGCCTTTTTGTTTGTAGGAGTTTAGTATCTGCTCTGGTCCATTCACAATTTTTAAAAATCCAGATGATTATGTGTGTGAAAACATTGCTAAGTATAAATCATGATGCAGATGTTACATGCTCACAGCAACAGTTATTGTTGATAAAACAGGTGCATGGTATATTTAGAAGGTGGCACTTACTATAAGGAGGTGGCTAGATCCAAGAGCCTTTTAACCTCTAAAACCCAGGTTTGTGACAGGGGAGTACATGCCCCTAATTAACAAGGGTCAGTAATATCTTGATATTAATATATTGTTGTTACTATTATTACTGCCATTAAATGAGGATTTCCCCCAGGTTTGCAAATATTTCTTTCCTATTTCTTCTAGACTTCACTGAGGGTTCCCAAGTTCCTGAGCGGCCCCCTAAACCATTCCCTCGGAGAATCAACTCTGAACGAAAAGCGGGTAGCTGTCAGCAAGGTGCCAGTGCTACCGCCACACCTCCTGCTGCCTCCTCACCTCAGCTCTCCAGTGAGATTGAGAACCTCATGAATCAGGGTTACTCCTATCAGGACATTCAGAAAGCTTTGGTCATTGCCCACAACAACATTGAAATGGCCAAAAACATCCTCCGGGAATTTGTTTCTATTTCTTCCCCTGCCCATGTGGCCACCTAGCACATCCCTCCCTGCAGCGGCTTCAGAGGACCCACGAGCCAGGCTCTTACTTAAGGAGCACCTAGGAGGGCAGAGGCTCCTTTGGGGACTTCACAATGAGGTCCTGCCCTCTCTGTAGGTATCACACCTGTGGTTCCAAGATTTCAAAGCAGTAGAATGAAAGTGGAGCAGCTAGTGTGTTTTATTATTATATTGGTCTTGAGAGTGCATTTGAAGGTGTCCTTCAGTCCCCACCAGGAGAGTGAGTGGATTTTTATTACATGGTAGCCTACCTGGGGGAACAGTCCAGAAAGTAGTAGAACAGGTATTGTGCTGTAAACCCTAACGGAGGACATAAGACTTTTCTGGGTTAAGGATGTGACTCTGTGTGTGTGTGTGTGTGTGTGTGTCTGTCTGTCTGTCTGTCTGTCTGTCTGTCTGTCTGTCTGTCTGTGGTTGTATGTGCCCTGTGATTATGATGATCCTGCTGTGTGTGTTAATTCCAGGTGGGGAATTAGCACAAGAGATTCAGGAAGGAATCTTTTAAAGACTTCTATCTACTGTGGTATTACCCCCAACTCTAGTGTGTATTACAACTTCAACACTCCACTTTGGCTTAGATTATCATGTGCATAGCTCATATTTTTAGAATTCCCTTCCTCTGTTCTATCCCCTTGCTCTGTTCTTTCCCCTATCAGCTTCTTTCTCCTCCTCCTTGGTTTTCTGTCATTGTCAGCAGGCTTGCTGTGGCCAGCCTTCCTGAGGCTAAGCAGCTTTTATAGGATGTTCCTTATTACATGTGATGGTGTTTGGTAGAGATAGTTGGGAGAGAGAGTACTGTTGCTACGTTGTTATGGTTTTGTTTGACACTAGGAGCTAACACTGGTCACTCCAAAGCACTGTTTCTATAGGAACATTGAATTTGTTAAAATAAAATGTTTGAACTATCCTAATTACATAATGACTAATTGAGATAGAGGCCTTCAAATACATTCCATGTCCTCCCCAGAAAATAGTCTGAGGGAGTCCGTTGCCTTGGTGCCAGGTGTGTGTCCTGGTATAGGTCATGAGTCTTTCTACTTAATGGAAAGGGAAGAACATTTGTTTCCAGGATAATTTTCTGGCCCTAATACCACAAAGTTTTTAGAAAGCTTCATTCACATGCTATTTAGATGCACAAAATAGATAGTAAGGATTTGGATTTATTTGTTCAGTTTTTCTTAAAGCTTAGGTGTCCAGTTGGGAGTCCTGTTCTTCAGTTCCTGTGGATAGTGCTCTATGGCCCCTTGAGTTCAGTTCTCTGTCCTGAGTCTTTTGCTGACTTCCCTAATGGTGGTATCCTTCCTCCATGTCATAAGCAAAGCTGCTCTTGGATAAATTACCTTCCTTGGGATCTAAATCTTGCTTTTGTCATTAGGTTCAGACAAAAATGGCTTGCCTTAAACCTGCTTTCTTTCCATTCTTGGCATCTTTGGAACTGAAACCTTTACTAACTCTTCTCTTGGTATCCAGCTACTTCTAGATCTTTTATTTTTGTCCTCTTGTCCCTGAACTATTTATATTTCTGGAGCAGAGCAAACTCTAGTACAGGACCTCATATTGATTTGCTTAGCCCACCAGCAGATGCAGGAGGCCCTACTCTGGGGTGGAGGGAGGCAGGGAAAGTGGGCACTGAGTGGCAAAGAGTAGTCTACCATCCTCTTCTAAAAACTGACAACATTCATTTTGCATTTTGTTTCAATATTGAAGGACTAGACAAAGAACTAGAAAAAATAACAACAGTTTCCAGGCCTATCCATGGTGTAATTCTTCTTTCTCTACAGATATTGTCCATAGTCAAGATCTGTCAAGAAAACCAAGCAGTCACTGCATCTCTTTTGCCTGTCCAGTGTATTCACATCTTCTGTGGAGGTTATTGCTCATACTGGCTGGACTAAGGGTCATTTCATCCTTTATTTTCCTGAGCACCTGTGTAGCTCTTCCAAGTCAGCCCTGAAAAGAGTGTCTAGGTTGCTGTGGAGCACATACATTGTTGACTGGCTTGGGTAGTTTTAGTTTGTCAGGTGTACATCTGCAGGCCCTGAAGGCTTTGAACCATTACATGAGGACCTATCCTTTGGATGTTCTAAGGACATATGTGGGCTTGTGCCTGAAATTGCCAGGTAAGCTTCAGGAAGGTTTTCACATGGCTCTTGTTTTCAAGATAGTCTCAAAACTTGAATTTCTTACATTTTCTTTTGAATAAGGCACCATTAACCATTTCTTATCCTCCATTCATATGGTAATTTTTAATTGTTTGACACTTGCTCTGAATTTAACTAAAATTGCCCTTTCAGGCTTTTGAGTTTCCCCATGTTCGCAAGATCATTCCTTTCCCTCTCCTAATTACATATAGTCAATATGGTCAGGAGATCCACTTTAATGTTTTCCTTTTTATCAAATTAATTAAACCATTCTATTCAACCTGTTTTCCTGTTTTCCCCACATTTTCTGACTTGCTTTACATAGCCTGCCTCATTGCTGGGTCTTCCAAGTACTGTGACTAGACTTTTCCAGCTGCCTCTCCCCTGTTCCTTCTACTAAAATGAAAGGGTTTTAAGTGAACTCTATAATATACCTCCCTTTAGTTAAATAATAGACTCATCTCAGCATGTATCTGTTAATATTTATTTAAATATTGATCTCTACCTGTGGATGGCTATTCTCCTGTACTAGTCTTCTCTTTCTCTCTATAATCCCACCCTATATATTCTGCCTTTTTTTTTTTCTTCCTGTTCTCTTTCTCTTTATAGACAGACTCTCATTGCCAGAGTCCAAGATGTGGGATACTATTAGTATTATTAGCTGTTCTGTGGATAAAAAAGGTGGGGGGGTTGCTATTCTTTATACTTAAAATATTTACTTCCTTTATAGAAAAGTAAAATGTGTTTTATGGTCCCAAAAGCAACTTACAAATTAATTTTTGTAACACAACTTTCTTGCGAACTAGGGATCAGCTTTAAGACACCTTTAACAAGATCTAGTGGTTTTTGTAGGTGATTAGCAGTGGTGTTAATGCAGAATATTTTCCTACCTCATGTCATGAAAGTTAGAAGGTTATTGACCTTATACTTTGCTTTTGCTATTGGCCTTTTTGACTCTGGAATGACCATTGTCCACTGAATACTGCCCTGGTTATAGCAGTTCAGTTGTTCACTCAGCAAATGTTTGGGTGATTAGCATGCACCAGGAATGTCAGCTATATGTTATTCCCTTCCACCACATGGTAGTTTACTGATGTTGAGGGATTGTACTTCAGGCTGTCTAGCACTTGAATTTGATCCTAAAATATCTCCTCCAAGTAAGATTGTACAATTTTATTCACAGCTTTTATGCAGACTTAACTATTCTTAAAGATCTGTGCTGGTTAAAATCAGTCTAAGACTTTCCCCTGAAATCCCTGTTGTCTTCCTATAGCTTTTATAATATTGAGGAGATTCCTTGGTCTGAGTTTCATGGATACCCACCTTTGTTATGTCTTTCAGTGGAATCTATTTGGCTTCAGAGGTATGTTGGCTTAGAGTTGTAGAGTAGGGCATTAAATGTTTAAGCAAAGGATCTGCCCACAGCCCCCTTTCAATCTAGTGCCTTCTTTGATCTTTTTACTGAGCTGCTTGTGTCTCTAATCCCCATTCTTGCGAAGGTTTCTCTTTTAGCCTTCTGTTACCTTTTACCATCCCTTACTACTGGGGATTTGTTTTCCAATCCTTCAGTGGCCTTTGCAGCTAATTCCATGTCATTGAAGGGGTGGAGATAGGAGACACCTGTCTTTGGATCCTGATTTTCAGTGGATTGTGTGGTCTTCTGAGAGCCAGTCAGTAGTACAGACTGGACTCAGTGCTCTGTATCAGCCTTTCCTTCAGAGCAGGGAACCACAGAGATGTCAGAGCTTAGTATCAATACCTTATTATTCTCCTAAACCCTAACACTTCAATATTCAATCTAAAGTATTCTAACTTCACCCAAAACATTTCTATTACAACGTTGATCTTAGTCTACATTAGCAATCTTTCTTTAGGAAATGCACATAAACCACTTAATTCATGAAGGAGGGCAGATGGTGGAACCGGGTTGAGATTGTATTTTAACTTTCCTGGTTACGGATCCTTTGGATACAAGAAATATTCCAGGTAAAAAAAGGAGGAAGTCAGTGATAAGGATGCAGAATATTTTTATGGAACCCAGGATAGGAAGTACAGTTGATTCTTGCATGGTCCCTCCTGCTTCATAGCCTGTTTGCATGGATAGCTTCCAAATAGGCACCCCAGTCCTCAAGTCCATGTGACCCTCCAGCTCTAGGGATCACCACAACCACGAACAGATTCCCAGTTCCTCTTAGTACATATTCTTAAGAAAGAATAAACTCAGCCCAGCATGTTGATCAGATGTCCATCCCTGACCATTTGGCCTTCAGGAAGGTGTGGCAAATGGCAGCAGCATCAGAGCTAGGGACTTCTACTCCAGTGGTAAAGCTGCTGTTGTCCTGCTTTTTTGAGAGTGGGATGACAGACATCAGAAGGTGTCTGGGTCATTGAGCAAATCCTTAGAATCACTTTAATTCTGCTCACTGTCTTTGTTTCTTCTTTATTTCTTACTTTTCTTCATCTTATGAGTCTTGGCATCCAAGATTTTTTTCCTCCCTCTTGAGGGCATGCTAGTCTGTTCCTAGGTGGCATTTCTTAGCCACCCTTCAACCTCAGGTCTTCAGCCTTCTTTCATGTCACTGAGAACAGATCACAATTCCACTTAGCTACTAACAGATCACGATTCCACTTAGCTACTACCCTTGAATTTGTGGACTCTTCAGGTTTTAGTGTTGAATATCTATCCATCCTTTGAGCTCCTGGCTATCTTGCATCTCCTCTTCTCCTCTTCCTTGTTGTCCTGTGTGAGGGAGCTCTGCAGTGTTGTTCCTAGGCACCTCAGAAACTGCTTTGCTGGAGCCAATAAAAATGGGTGAGAGTTGGGATGTTTCCAGGATATAGAGATTACAGTGTAGTATAGAGCTTCTACTGCAAGCTCCTTAGATAGGATGTCTGTATTTCCCTGTCCGATTGCTTTCCTTTATATTAAAGCTCCCCCCCCCTTAAACTATGCTTCACCTTGCCTGGATCTATTGTTTTTCCCATCCTGAGCCTGTTTTGCATTATAAGGCATTTTATATGCCTTGCTTATAACTTTTTTAAACTACCAGAGTCATTTGATATACACAGAAGTAACCTAATAATCCAAAGACATACATCAAGGCACATGGAAGGGTAGGTCACCAGATTTTGTGTTTGATAGTCTAGTCTAGGCTCCTAAATTAAGGATTAGAGGGACAGTAGTGCCATGTGCCTTCACAGTGTCCCAGAAAATCTGGGTTGTTCCAAAGGGAAGAATCAGTATTCCTTGGTTCCAGAAAGTAGTAAAAGAAGAAGAGATGGAGAAATAAGGACGGAGAGAGCAAACCCTGCACATTCATTCAGCGTCAAATGGAAAGCCCCCAGGCAGAAGAGCCAGCTGTTGACTAACAGACTAACAGCTGTTTGGAGATCTTGCCACCCCTTTCCCTAGTATAGTGTTTGAGAAAAATGTGGCTGACCACTCCCTGTGTTTTACAGAGTCAAGGCTGAAAGCCAGCCTCAGATCTCCTGATCTGGCAGCTGAACAAATTAGCAGAGTTCTGATCACCTGGCTTTGTAATCCTGATTCAGTCCCAAAAGAGAAAGTGAGCGGCAACCCTCCACATTGCCTTGCACATGTTTTTTCCTACCCTGAACCGGATGGAAGGCCAGAGAAGATGATTGCTCAGCACTTCTGCAAGCAGCTCCTCAGGCTTTGCACTGCCTCCCTGCACAGGCCCTGAAGTGGGAGTGCTGGGTGCCTGTGTCACTTCTTCCTCCCTGCCTACCTCTGACCCCATGGTGGGTGAGGGTAGCCATGCTTATGGCTGTCTTGAAACTGAAGAGGCAGAGAACTACTTGAGTCTGTAGACCATGTGTTCTCTCCCCTGGCCTCTCTCTCCTGTCCTGTTGTTGGGGTGAAGGAGCCTATAGTGCAATGCCTGTGGAGAGGAGATGGCTCCTGACCTACCCTGCTCAGTACTGTTTTAGTGTCTTGGCCTTGAATGACAAGCCCAATTTCCTGCTGAAACATGTGGCAGGGCATGGCAGCTATGAGGTACCTCCTACATCTGCTTTCTGGCTGTGGCTACTTGGGATTTTTAACCTTATATATCTTTTTCCTTTATTCAAAACAATTTTTAGCACACTGAAAAAAAAAAAGCCAAACGTTTTGTGCCTTTCTAAGGCAGCACTGTATCCAAGGCTGCATTTTAGGACTTAATATGGAAATGCCCGAGTCTGAGCTCCTCTACCTTGAGTATCCTTAGCCCTAGAGTCCAGGGAATAGGAAGAGTCTCTCTGTGGCTGGAGATGTGGCACACAAGATACAGTATGCCTGTGGTCCCTTTGCTCTATCATGAGGCTTTTTTGGAAGACGGCAGCATTGTACTTGGGATCATTTGTTTGGTTCCAATCAGCAGCTTAGTTATCAGATTGAATGCTTTGTCTCTTGCAAGAGACAAAATGTTCCACAATTTCCAGATTTACTCTGGACCATTCCAAGTGCCCCAGCCCCCTGATCATATCAATGACCCTGTTGCATATGGAGAAGTATAGGGTGGATTCTCCTGAAAGGGGGAGGCAGTTCTTTTTTTTTTTTTTTTTCCTTTTTTGCTGGATCCTGAGCCAGCCTAGACCTCCTGCTTCTTCCTCAGACTTGGCTTTCCTTTCATTTGAAGTCTTTAAATTTAAAAGCATTAAGTAGCTAGTGCCCTCTACAAGGTCTGCTTTTCCCCAGAGTAGGGCAGCAAGGAATATGTACCAGAATCGGTATTATTATCGTAATAGGTTTCAGCAGGAGGAAGTTTTCTATATAGTGACATTTTACTTATTGTTTCCTCAATTCTTCCCTGCCTTTAACTAATAAAGAATTGGGAGATAGAAACAATTCTTTATAAAATCCTCCTTATTCAAGATTTTGAAATTCTTGACCTGGGTGGGGCTGGAGAGAACTTGATGTTTTCTCTAGAATGAAGAGTCCCAATTTGTATATCAGTGTTAAGAAAACAAAACAGACACTTAGGTAAGATTTTTGTGGACTATTTTAAAAATGTGTCATTAATATAAAAAAATTATATTAGCAGTATTTAATCATCCTCACCTGTAAAGAACAAGAAAAAACAGAAGGTAAATATTCTTACAGAGAATAGCAGAGCTTTAAGATTCATTTTCATTTTAAGTCCATTGTTTTGCCAATGTATTAATGTTTAGAGGTCTGTTATACTAATGTTATTTATTAATTTTTTTTTCATTTCCATACACAGTTAACTAAAGAGCTTTTCAAGCACCCATGTCTGTAAAAGAAGTATTTTTAAATAAAGTTTCTTTTGTTGTAGCAGACTCGAGTTCTTGCTCATTTGAAAGGCAATATATGACCAGATACTGCGGTGGGTTCTGCTTGGCCAGCAGTCTGCCAGGCCCCACATGCTGCTCAGAAATGGCGGGGCTAGCCTCTGGGGCAGAACTGGAACCAGAAGAAACCCTGGTCTCCACTGGCAGCTGCAAAAGGTTCTGTGTTCTTTTGGGGGCAGGTGAGAAACCCCAGGTACCCGTGATACCCATGATGAATGGAAAGCACTGCACAACTTCCAGGACAATTAAGCTTTATTTTTCTCACACACACACACGTACACACACGTGCACACACACATAGACACACATAATTTGCAGATTTACATACAACAAAACCACATGAGCAAGCATGCATGTCACTACACATACACACTCACACACACCCCAAAGCTCTAGCCAGGCCCCTGGTTTTTCATCCCTAAGTACCATTCTCCTATTTGGGCCCTTGTAGAGTCTAGGCCCATTAGCTCAGTTTATAGAAATTTGGTGATAATATAACTATAGCCTTAATCCCCATAAAGGACAGGTCACCTCATCTCTCTCCCTCCATCTCTCATCTTTCAGTCTCACATGATCCTTTGAGGGCACTGGGAGCCATGTAAATGTAGAGGCTCAGGCTCAGAGGTCTTCACAGGAATGTCACCTGGCTTCCTCCCTGCAGGACATATTCTTGAGGAAATAACACCAGTTCCTGATTTGAGCCCAAAGAGAAAATGTCACAAAAGAGGCAGGCAGGAAGTTATAGCAGCGACTCTGCCACTGCTTCCGGATACTACAGCGTACTCTCCAGAGCCAGCAAAACTGCATTCTGTGACAGTGAACCTGGGCCCTGGTGCCTTCTCATGTCAGGGGTACAAATGGATTACCAAAGCCAGCCTGGCAGGGGTAGGCAGAAAACCAGCTAGGATAGGGGCTGGTAGAAGACAGGTATTTATAGCTATAGCATATTTAAGGAGAAAACATGTTCTACAAGAAACTTCAGTCACTTGTGGGGAACTGAGGCCTCTTCTGAACATCACATAAGTGGAGATAGAGGTGGACTGGGCCCTAAAAGGGGGCCTCCAGGGCCAAGTGAGGTCCTTCTTGGGATGGCTCTGGCCCTAGCCCACAGCCCTCTAGAATTGATCTGTAGGTGTGCTGGAGCAGGGTCTTCTCTGTAGTCCCTTTGGGGGCTTTGGCTGGGGAAAAGAGTGAGCAGGGAGCCAGAAACTGTCCAGGTGAGGAGAGAACCAATGTGATTCCATGGCTAATGCCTCAGATCGATGTATTTCTCTCCCTAAAAATGGGTAGAAGAGAGGGAAACATGGAGACAGTTAGCAGAGTTCAAGGTGAGTACACTAAGAGGAAGGAGGGAGGAATTGAAGCAGAAGCTGATGAACTTTGTGCAGCATCATGGAGGGAAGAAGCTGGAGTGGGTATGAGGAGCAAGGAAGGACAGACAGCCCCTGATTCTGCCTCTGCACTGGGGAAATGGAGGCCACACTTCACGCTTCTGGCAGGAGCCACAGGCTTTGTTCAGGAAAGGTGATGGTGATGGGACCAGGGCTTTGCCCTCAGCCTTTCTACAGGGTCTCTCCGCCACCTGCCTCACCCTGCCATCTGTAAGTAGTGTTTAGTAGGCAAGATGGGCCTGCTCTGTTTCTCCAACCAAGAAGGAAGAAGGGCAGAAAGAGTTAGTGTTCGGAAACGAGCACCATTAGTCCCTGGCACCCCCAATCCCTGAAGATTTATCAGACACTGGCCATAGGAACTGCCTCCTACCTGGTCTCCTGGAGCCCTCTTGTCACCGCTGCTGCCCTGTAGGAGGCCCATCTCTTCTGGGAGCTTATCTGACTTAACTTCAACTACAAATTCGCTCTTATGAGACGGGGGCAGCGTGCTGGGAGGAGGGAGGCGAGAGGTTGGCAACTTAGGGGCAAAGGGGGGGGGGCTGTTAGGAAGGATGCTTGGATAGATAGTGGGCTCTTTGGGGGCTCTGGGGTCAGCTCAGAAAGGAAGCAGGCAATGAAAGAAGGTGTGGGGGTGGGTGCTGGGCAGGAAAGCAGGGCACATCCAACCCAGGGTCCCACTCTTGCTTCTAAGGGGTAAGGGGCAGATGACATGTGCCTAAGGAGGCAGCAGGCGGGGCAGCAGGAGAGGGAGGGTAGCAGGGGTCTGTCATGCTTACATCTCTTGTTTGCCTGACCGCCCACACAGCAGCTTGCCCTTCTTGTAGAGGAAATAGAGGACAGCGCCCAGCACAGCCAGGACCAGGATGCACACGATCACAGCCACAATGACCACGCCCTTGCTCTCCTGCTCCCGCAGCTTTTTCTCTGTCAAATAAAGCCACTCCTAGTCACTCCTGGCCCCAGGCTGACACATTGCCATTGCTGCCCCACCCAGCCCAGAGCAGGCAGAAGATGGGCCGCCACTCACCTATCTCAACATTGCTCCCCACTGTGGGGACAGGGCAGAAAGGGTGCCCTAGCACAGCCCTGTTCTCTTGCCAGGCCCGGCTTACCTGTGGAGGTGCTGTTGGCTCTGGCATGAGGACTGGCAGTGGAGGTGCTGAGGCCAGCTGTTTTGCTAGAGTCTGGTGCGAGGGTGGTTAAACTGACTGGGAGGCAGAGGGAGGGAGTTAGGAGAAGCTCACGTTAGTGCCCGTGCCTGGGCATGCCCCTGCCATCCTCTGCAGGGATGTGGCCCCTCACCCAGCTCCAGGATGATGATGGTGCTGTTTCTGCCCAGGGAATTGGAAGCTGTGCATTCCGCGCCCCTCTCCAACAGCTCTGGGGTCACAAGGACATTCAGAGTGCTCAGCACCCTCTGTGAATCTTGGTATTCTTCACTTGCCTGTGAAGAAGGAGGCAGTTCAGTGGGTGGAAGGATCTCCGGTTATGGCTGCAAGGCCTGGGCAGGGATTAATAAGCACAGAGGAAGAGGCCCCAGGCCTGCTTACAGTCCCGTTGATGTCCCAGGAGATGGTGGGCCGAGGATGTCCTGATGCTTCACAAGACAGATTAAGCATTGTATTCTCTTTCACCCACACCTTCCTCTTCTTTGATGCCATCCATGGGGGACCTTGGGGAGGTAGGAGAGGGTGTGGCAGCAAACTCAGCAAGCTTGCCTCTTCTTCCCCACCAGAGCTCCCAGGGCATCAGTGGCTTTCTGGCACCAAAGAGCTCAAAACCACCTGACTTGGGGTGATCTGGTCTCTGCCCAAAGGGCCTCACCAAAAATGGCCACATTGACTAGCTGTGTGCGGTTCAGGCCAGGTACGCTGGGCACAGATGCCACGCAGCGGTAGCCTCCTCCTATCTCCCGTTTCAGATGGTCAAAGTGAAGCACAGACCCCTTTTCCAGCACTTGGCCTGTCTGGGGGAGAGGTCGTTCAGAAGGTCTCAGAAAGAATAAGCTGTTGCCCACAACCCCAGATCCATCTGGATACCTTTTCTCTCAGCCACTGGAACTCGAGGGCCTGGTTACTCTCTGCCTTGCAGGTCAGTGTAAGGCTACTGCCTTCTTGGCCTGCAGGGGCTGCGGGACTCACGTCAACATCAGACACATCTGGGGGCACAGCAAGAGTGTCAGCCTGGGAAGGACAGGGCAGGGCCACTTCCCTCTTGCCCCAGTTCAGCCCCCCTGTCCTGGGGGCCCCCAGCCCCTCACAGTTCACCAGCAGCTCCTGGGGTTCACTCAACAGTGGTATCATGGTTTCTAGGTCCAGACCCTGGCATTCATAGAGCCCGCTGTGCTGCTTCTGGGCAGGCTCCAGCACCAGGAGGCCATTATCAGTGGATCTCTCTTCCTCCATCTCCCTAGTGCTGGGATTCTGGGAGAGGAAGAAGCAGTGAGCGGCACCGCCCAACCACTCTATCTGCATCTGCCTGCACCCACTCTGCAGCCAACACCAAGCCCTCACACCTGCTTGTAGATGCTGAAGGGAGGTGTGGGGTTGCCATCCGCCAAACATCTGATTTCCACACGATCCCCTTCCTTCAGCATTCCTGCAGGCTCCACTTCCAACCACACTTTTTCCGCTGGGTCTGTGTAGGCAAAGGGAGTTGTCCTCAGCCCAAGAGGTGCCCTGGGCTGGATGGGAACAGGTTGGCAGGAATTTCCACCAGGCCCACTTCAGTGAACAGATGGACAGGTCAGTACTCACAGAAAACGGGGACAGTGACTTCCCTAGATTCCTTCATGTGGTTCCCACTGGGCAGTCGGTAACTGAGCTCACAATAAAATCGGGCATCTTTGTCTTCCTTAACCAGCTGTACCTTCAGAACACTCTTCAAGGTGTATAAGCCACTTGACTCCACGATCTGCGAGGACTGAATGTGGACGCCTGGGCAGGGAGGAAGGGGAGCAGGGCCTGGCCTCAACCCCACCCTGTAGTTCCCACCATGTTAGCAGGGGAGCATCTAAAGACCCCTGCCAGCTGGGCATGGGTGGCACACACCTATAATCCCAGCTACTCAGGAAGCTGAGACAGGCAGGAGGAACAGCAGTTTGAGGCCAGGCTCAGCAAGTTAGCAAGATACCGTCTCAAAATAAATAAATAAATAAATAAATAGCCCTGCCCCTGTCAAGTGGCCAGGGTCAAATGCAACCTGGCAACTTTTCAACCCAGCACTTTTAATGTGCAGTATCTGCCCTAGAAAAACATTCACACAACAGCATATATACAAAGATGTATGCCAGTATTGCTGCAGCAACGTATATGAGGTGCCTGGGAGTGTAGTAAGTGGTAGAGCATGTGCTTAGCATGCACATAAGGGTCTGGCTTCACCCCAAGAGCCAAAAACAAAATAAATTACCCAAGGTGATTAGAAAAATGAGACACGCTAGACTCATCAAGCAGGAACAGCAGAGTCTAAAACTCTGCAACAGGCACAACAAGTACATCTACACAGACTGAGCTACAAAGATTACACAAAAGAAACTGTCTAGGGCTGGGGTTGTGGCTCAGTGGCAGACTACTTGCCTAACACGTGTGAGGCACTGGGTTCAATTCTCAGCACCACATACAAATAAATGAATAAAATAAAGGTTCATCCAACAATGAAAAAAAGTATATTTAAAAATAAATAAATAAAAGAAACTGTAGCAATGCATACCACAGTTTAATACTTCTCAGGGTTTGCCAACCTCACACTAATGATGTTTCAGGCTAAAAGTGAGTCTTTGTGGTGAGGCATCCTTTGCACCATACCAAGTGTAGCAGCATCCCACCTCTACTCACCAGATGCCAATAGCACCCCCTATTCTTTTGATAACCAAAACTCCCACCAGACACTGCCAAATATCCCCTGGTGGGGTGCAAAAGTCAATCCTGGTTAGAGACCACTGATTTAAATAATAAAATGCCTACATGCTTCTAGAGATATTTGTGTGTGTGAATAAATACACAGAAATAGGCCTGAAAGAACTGACAGCAGAGGTTACTTCTGATAGTAAATCAGAGGAACGTCTAACTTTTCTGTGCAATTCAAATTCTTGGGACTGGGGCTCTAACTCAGTGGTAGAGCACTTGCCTACTAGCAGGTGCAACACCCTAGGTTCAACCCCAGCACAGGGGTGGCAAGGGGGCCGGTGATATCCTTTATCAAAATATTTCCAATTTCCCACTCTCTCTTAAAAAAGAAAAAAATATATATATATTTCCAAACATCACTTGTTGCCGGGTGCACTGGCACATGCCTGTAATCCCAGCAGCTCAGGAGGCTGAGGTGAGAGGATCATGAGTTCAACACAGTGAGACCCTGTCTCTAAAATACAAAAAAGGGCTGAGGATGTGGCTCAGTGGTTGAGTGCCCCTTAGTTCAATCCCTGGTACCAAAAAAAAAAAAATCACTTGTTGATTTATTTTTTACTTTTTCCAGTTCTGGGGATTGAAACCAAGGCCACTCTATCACTGAGCTACACTCCTAGCCCTTTTTACTTAATTTTTATTTTTGAGTCAGAGTCTTCCTAAGTTGCCCAAGCTAACCTCAAATTTGTGATCCTTCTGCTTTAGCTCCTAAGTCATATACTTTTTTCTTTTTTTTTTAGTAAAAGCTAAAATAAGTGGTTAGTTAGTCCCTGTATGGTACCACAGGCAAGAAGGGTACTCACGATTTTTCTCCTCCATCAGGGGCAGACGATTCTTGTACCAAATGACTTGAGGAACGGGGTACCCATTCCTCCCTATACAGGTGGCGACCTAAGAAGGAGAGGGTATGAGTCTCCCTGCCTGACACCCCACCAAGGCCCACCTTAGCTCCTGCTTACACTTGGTCAGCCCAGCATATCTCACCTCCTCAGGCTCCCTGCTGTTTACAGAGATGCCCAGGGCACTGGCCTGGATGGTTGGCTCCTCTGGAGCTTCTACAAGGGGAGGAAAATCAGCAGGAATACTGGAGCCCGCTTCCCATGATCCATACTGACGTGAAGGCAGGAAGGGAGGGGCACTCACTGAAGACATGGAGCTGAATGCGGTGCTCCTGGGACAGAGGACGCTTACTCTGGCACAGGAAGATGCGCTCATCATGGGGCATGACCTGAGTCAGAGCCAGAGCCCCTGGGCCCTGGAGGCTGAGACGGTGCTGGTACTCCCCAGGCTCACTCTGACCCTGGCCCTGGCGCACACGGAAGATGAGTGTGGGCTTCTCCTTGTAGACCTGAGGGGATGGGACAGAGAGGTAAGGGTCCTGGGTCTGCATGGGGGGGCAGAGCTTCCCACCTCCCACTGCCCCTGGGAGCTCAGGAACTCACAGAAAACCAGTCCACATGGCTGAGGTTGCCCAGGGAGTGTGAAGGGCCACACCTCAGAAGGGCCGTGTTGCCCACTTCCACTTCCACCAGCTCTGGTGTGGGCTGCTCCGCCTCTCCAGGCACACCTGGAGGGAGGAAGGGGTGTACCCCAGCAGCTGTGTCAGCTCCAGCTGCTCCCCATCCCTTCACACTACTCCCTGCAGCTGTTCTCCTGCCACTCAGGAGGGCCCAAAGAAGGCCCTGTCCATTCCTAACCTCAACCTCACCCTGCCTGCCCCCAACTCACAGTCAGCCCTCTCCTACTGCAGGGGGATCCTGGTCCTCAGGGTGAAGACTGAACATGGGGCACTTCCCAAATGAGGATGGCAGAGGGGAAGAGGGGCAACATGAATAGGCTCTGGGCCAAGAGGAAGGTTCCTTTCCTCCTAGGTCCCCTCCCCTGCTCTCTGAGTGAGCTCAGAGTGTGGGAATGCAAGGCATGTGCCAGGCTGGGGCACACAGGCCCCTTTGTGTCCCCATCCCCAGGGCAGACGTCACTATTCTACCCTCTGCCTACCCCCCAAGTCTCCTCCCTAAACCCCCAAGAAGACCTAATGAGCCAATCTGGCCACACTCTGAACTCATGCTCCCTAAGCGGTATGGCAATGAATATTCCACATACACTCAGGGGATCTCATCCTGGGAATCTGGTGAGTATGGAGGGGTCAGAGTCCCCCAGGGGTCAGGACAAGGGTCAGGGAGTGGGCAAGAGTGACATTAGTGGCATTAGTGGTGCCAGCGTGCTCCCAATCCTGTGAGGAAGTTATGTCACTTGACACCATCTGGCTGGACCCTAGGATGCCTGCCTTGAACTGGCTCCCAGGCAGGGAGGGCCAGTGCAATGGTCCTCAACCCAGAGCAGAAGCCTGCGATTCTTGACTCTTTTTCCCCAGAGACAGAAGAGCAGGGCAGGGTGCTGCGGGACCCTCTGCAGCTATGGAGCCCTATTTAGCCCTTTCCCCAGAAATAAGGTCAGCCTAGGAGGCAGTAGACTGGAATACTCCAGGGATATGGCTGGCACTGGGCATGAGGCCAGCCAAGTGGGTAATGCCCAGTCCAACCCTTCCCCGGGCGGATAGCGGCTGGGATCAGGGTAGAAGCCAAGAGTAACACGCCATACCGCTGCGGGCCATACAAGGGCAGCATGGACCCCGGGAGGGCCCAACTACTAGGCGGTTCCAGAAAAAAGCTCCCAGGTGCTTGGGCGCTTTTCCCACCAGAATGTAGTCCTTAAACTAAGTCCACTGGTGCTTCCACTCTAGAAATGCTCCATCTCCCGTATCTACCATCTATGCCGGTCACCGAGGAGTCGCGAGGCGACCCACACTGCCTACAGCCTGTGCCAACGCCCAGCCCGGCGGGAGCAGCCGTTCCTCCTCCTCTTGCTCACCTCCAGCCTGGCGCGAGGCCCAGGCCGGAGGGGGAGGGGTCGGCGCACCCCTCCAGCTAGAAAAGCTGCCTTTTCCAGCAACAGGCGGGCGCCGGATTCAGGGGTTGGGGATGCGCGCTGGTTGCGCCTCCCATTCCGGCTCCAAAAGCCGGTCCCCAGAGTGGGCACCTGCGGAAAAACTCTCCGAGAGCCTCAACTCCACCCTTTCTCTCGCGCGGCAGCAGCCTCCACCCGGTCTTCCCAGTCCTGATCCCGGATACTCTAGAATCCAGACTGCAAACTGGATGCAAAGAATAGTTGCACGCGCGCAAGGCGCCAGGGAGCCCGGCGCTCGGGCAGGGGAAGCGCCTACTGGGGCTCAAATCCCCGGTGCTGCTGCGCTCCCGGCTCTGCTATCCCGCACGCTCCCCCTGAAGACCCTCGGCCCGGGCGCTGCGGGGCACGGGTCCCCCAACCAACTCACTCACCAGTGGCGCGGCGACAGCAGCAGCAGACGACCAGCAAGAAGGCGCAGAGGAGTCCGGGTAGATCCATGCTTCCCGGCCGGAGGACGAGAGCCAAGTGAGGAGCTTGCGACTGCCGGGGGCTGACGTCAGGGGGGCGGGGGAGGGGGCCCAAGCGCTGGCCTGCCCCGCCCCGCGCAGCCCCCCGCCCCCGCCCCCGCACGCAGCAGCCCTAGGGGGCGGTCCCCGATGCGCCGGCCCCTAAGCCGCACTCCAGAGCGCGGCCGGAGGTAGGCCGTAGCCCGCCTTCCAGCCCCCAGTTTGAGCACACCACGGGAGCAGTGACAGGTGTCTTGGGGCCGGACAGACTGACCGAGGAAGCAGCGAGGAGAAGCTGGTCCGGATGCCCAGAAAGGCCCAGATCGCCACAGCGGTGTTCACCCCAGCCCAGACCTTACCAGTGTAGCACTGGGGGACCTCCTGGCGGAGGAATAGCAGATCAGGTCCTCTGTGTCCCTAATGGGAGCCTCCCATTCAGGCTCCTCTGCTCCGCCTCAGAGAAATTGGGCCAGCTTTGGACACCTCCCAGAATGATTGCTCCACTGCGCGGCTGCTGCCGGTCTGGCACTGCCCCCAGCCTGGCTGTCCTGGCAGCTTTGGGGGAAGAACCGTGCGCCAGGTTCCACAGACCCAGAGGTACCTGCAGGGGGGAGTGGAGAATGCGCCTTCCAGTCTGTCCTTCAAGCCCAAACTCCCACAAGTCCGTGTTTAACTAGAAAAGGGAGGGGGCTGAACTCAGTGACCAGAGGTGTTCATGCTTGTCCAACCCTGAGAATCCTGTTCCTACCATCTTTTCTCTTTAAACTTGACCTGGGACTCAGTTTCCTCCCACCAGAATAAGGAAAAGAGAGGGAAGATTTAAAGGATGCTGAATCCAGCTGAGCGCGGGTGATGCATACCTGCAACCCAACTACTAAAGAAGCTGAGACAGGAAGATAACACGTTTGAGATCAGCCTGGGCAGTTTAGCAGACCCTGATTAAAAAATGAAAAGGGCTGGGGCTGGGCTGGGGGTTGTGGCTCAGTGGTAGAGCACTTGCATCGAATGTGCTAGGCACTGGGTTCGATTCTAAATAAATGAATACAATAAAGGTCCATCAACAACTAAAAAAAAAGAAGAAGAAAGGGACTGAGGGAGCTGGGGATGCAGCTCAGTTAGTAGAGTGCTTGTTTTGCATGCACAAGGTCCTTGGTTCAGTCCCCAGCACTTGGGAAAAAAAAATACAGAGTCTCCAGCTTGACCCCTAGAAATCTCTTGCTTTTCCTGATGGTTGAAAGGACCCCTGAGGCAGTGCTTTACTGATCCCCAATTCCCCCTCACCCTACTGACTTGGTTCAGCAGCTGGAGAAGGAGCACATGCAGGAGGGATCAGATCTGGTTGCAGAAAGCCCTGACTGAGCTGGGTCAGTCAGTCAGCATGGTGAGGGGAGCCCGACAGCTACCCTTTTCCCCAAACTGAGACTTCTACCTGAGTCTTCTGGCCTGCTAAGACTTCAGTACCCTGGCCTCTGGTAAGGATCCATATATTTTGGGACTTCTTCATCAGGTATGGTCAGATTGGGGCCTAGATCTGGGGTGAAAGTCTGTCTCCCACCAGGCAGTCTTTCTGCTGGCTGGGGGGAGGAGCAGGGTGAGGCAGCAAATGCCAGAGATGGCCAGGTGACTTGAGAGAATGCTCTGGGTGGCGTTTTGATGACGCAGAGATGACTGGCAAACCACATCAGCCTTGTCTTTCAGAGCCTTGCTGACCCCTCCTCCCTGTCCATTAGTCTCCAGCCAGAGGCCATGCCAAGCCTGCCAGGCCAGGGGCTGGAACATGGACAGGAGAGAGCAAGAGGACGACCCTGGCTCTCCTGACCCCTAGACTAAATGTATGGACTCTGGCCCAGGGCCCAGAGCAGAAGGGAACAGATGAAGGTTTTTGTATGCAGGGCAGGAGTGGGAATAGCTGAAGGTTGCTGTTTGCCCTGGCAGGCCAGGAGCTGGGCATGGACTGGCTTCCCTGCCCCCTCCCCTTCACTTAACACCATTAACTAATCATTCTCTTCTCTGGCAGCCTGAAAACACAGCCAGCTAACCACCAAGGACAGTCAGTTCTGAATTCTTCTTCCGCCCTTAGGAGACAGAAAGGGGGGTGTTGGGGGGGTTGGAAGAGTCATCTCTGCAGTGAAAGAGAAATGAGATTAGAGCCCAGGGGTGACATCTCCTCCCCTGCATGGCCCCAGCAAACAAACATATGTCCTAGGAAAAGTCCATTAGGGAGTGAGTGGGAGAGGTCAAGGGACAGACAACATAGGGATGGTTCCACAAGAGGGTCACTTTGGGATTACAAACCAAAGAGGGGTCAGGACTTTGGAGAGGATTCAGAGGCCAATGGAAACAGGAAGGACAGGAACAAAGTCAGGAGTGCAGGGCAGGTGGATGGTATCACTCCCAGCTCCTCTAAGACGCCAGAGGATACAGCTTTGGCAGCAACAGAATTTCCAGGACTGAGACTCAGCACATAGGGATATGGAGGAGAAGGCAGGGGAGGAGATGGAGGAGAAAGGGGCAGAGATGGGCCTTTCACCCCAGCAGAGACTCATGCACTCAAGGAAAACCCTTGTCAAGGGTAGGTAGGTCAAGGGTAGAAGAATAGGTCTCCCTGGCTGAGGGCTGGGGGTGGGGTAGAGTCCTAATTCTTTGCCTCACTTCTCTCCAGGAAGTGGGGCTAGGACTGCAGCTTTTCTCCACCCCCATGGTAGACCTAGGCTCCTGAGATGAGGGGGCTCTCTCCGTGCAGAATGCCTTTGGGTGCCTCTCTAGTATAGGTCTGATAAATAAGGTGGAGAAACTGAAGCTGGGTGAGGGAGGTAGCCTCCTGGGCAAGTGGGACTTTCCATCCATTATAAGGAAAAGTGGGGAAGAGTAGAGTTGGAGGCAAAGAGACAAAGTCACTCCACCAGCACCTTGTGGGGATATTGGCCCCAGAGTTCTCTCCCAGCTAACTTTTGCTTAGTGGGCACAGTGGCTTCCGACCCACCTTCTGGTCCAGGAACCTTAACCAGAAGGATGTGACAAAGGCAGGCTGGGCTGAGGAAGGAAGCTGATAAAGACGAATTTGCAGCTGCCATGAGAAGGAGATGGAAGCGGAAGGGGTGGCCTAGCAATCTTGGCAACAATGAAGGTCGGGGAACCCCCTAGAAGATAGAAACTGGCCTGGGTCTTGGAGGGGATGCAGGAAACTTTCTAGATTTTTTTTATGGGGGGGGGTTCTGATTGAGAGGAGATTGTGCTGAGAGTGAAAAACAGGGTGGGAGGAGGGTGGGGGACAGTAGCTGCCTAAGACATCTTTGGGCCTGCAAACCGGATACTGGGGGTGGGCTGGTGGAAGATGTGGGGGAAGAGATTGAATGGGGGGAAGCCGCCCCACTCCCTCCGGACATTCGTGTCCTTCGCACCTGACCTAGGGCAGGAGGAAGGAGGTGCAGTCTGGATGGGGGTGCACCCCAGCAGCACTGGTGGCTTTCTGGGGGGATGGGAGGGGTTATTTTTAAACTTGGAAAAACCGTGAGTTCATCTCCACCCTGGAGGCGGCAAAGGCCCCATTGTGTAGGGGTCCGAAGAAGGGGGAGGCTGAAGGGGGGGAGTGGCACAAAGGCGAGGATTATGTTGGAGCAGGCTAGGGGAGCACAGGGTGGGGGAGGGGCACCGTCGTCACAGCTGGCCTACTGAACTCTGGGGTCGGGCCAGGCTGGAGCTTGGGCTTAGATAAGTGGGGAGGCGAATTCCACCCTCACAAAGCCCCTGTTGGGGAGTTGGGGTCTCCCACATCCGACATCCGGTGGTTCATCCTGGGGAAGGGGCTGATGGTGGGATTCCCACTGCCTGGCTTTCCCAGGGACTGCAGGGTCTGTTCTCAGGCTCCCGGCATTCCGGGGACTCCCCTGGGAGCTACTGGCCTCTCAGTCCCTTCACTGCCGGGTGGGGGCAGGAAAAAGAGGATGTGGATGCAACATCTTCCTGGGGACTAGGAACCCTTAAGCCAGACAGTAGTGGGTGGGTCGGGCATTTGAAGCGGTCCCAGCCCTCCCACCCCAGCCCCCTGATCTGCAGGACCCTTAGACCAAGGCTGGCCCGCAAGTCCCCTCTGATCCCAGGGCTTTCTCCGCCTAGGACAGCCCACCTGCTCGACCTCAGCACCCAGGACCTCCTCCCGGGGATCCAGCCCTGGCGGGAGGGCGCCAGTATAGGCTCCTCTGCGCGCCCCAGGACCCCTACTCCGGAGGTCCAGCCGGCGGCGCCGGGGGGCGGGGCATCCGGCCGCGCGCACCAACCCAAACATTACCATAAATGCTCAGGCTGCAGCCTCGGGCCGCGCCGGGCTTGGCAGGGTTGGGGGGGCGGCCTGGGGGCCCTCCCGGAGCCCTTTATCCGGTCCTTTGGCCCATCCCTGTGCGGCCGTCAGAGGTGATTCAATCTGTCCTGTCACCCCCTCTCCAAAGTGGGGTGGTTGCGGGGGAGGCCGGGAGAGATGGGCAGTGGGCTGTGATCCCAGGTCAGAGTCTCCAGGCAGGATTTCAACATCCGCGCAGAGTTGAGGGCTCTGCGGGACCCACTCCTCTCAGGAGTGACTTCTTGGGTCTCAGTACTCTGACCTCTGAACCCTAGATCCCCTCTTATTTCCCAGTGCCCGACCTAAACTTGGAGACTGAGGAATGATGGGGGCGGGCCAGGATGCTGGGAGTTTACACCTCTCCCCTTCTGGGAAGTTCACATCCGGTCCCCAAAATACCACCACGCAGGGAGAGGAATGTCCCCAGAGGGCTGTTTAAGTTTGACTTTGAGTTGTCCCTGAGAAAAGGCCAGCTAATGTACAGTTGGGGAGGCTGTGGGAAACCTGGAAGTGCCACATTCTGGGTCCCCTGGTCCTATCCTCTCTGAAGAATACTTGTGCATTTCTTTTGACCTTAGCTTTAAGCCAGGAGATCACATTGGGGGGGGGGGGGTCTGGAAGCCCCCCTGTAGCTGCCCAGGCTCTGGCCTGCTCTCTCTCTGGACCTGGCACCCCAGTGGCTGGGGCCCTCTAGGGAATATGAAAAGTGGAGGGGACACAGGATTTGGACACAATGGTGGCTGTACTCTCTCACTGGCACCATCCCTTCACATGCCTGTCACATTGGAAACTGCTCCATCAACTATGGTCTCAAACAGCAAGAAAGAACTGATGTTTTTGCTACCAATTTAATGGGTCTCTTGTAAGTAAACTCACTGGGACTCTTCAGAGGGAACACAGCAGTGCGCTGACCCAAGGAAAGAAACTATGCATGTCTCAGGGCCTATCTCATCTTTGCAGCATGCTTTACAGCTTAGACCTGTTCCTTAGGGTCATTTTCATGACCAGTACTTTTCTTGCTATTTACAACAAAAAATGAGGAAATGGGAAACACAAAGAGTTACTTACCTCGCTGATCATGGTGGTGAATGTCTGTTATCCCAGAGACTCAGGAGGCTGAGGCAGGAGGATTACAAATTCCAAGCCAGCCTTAACAATTTAGCAATGCCAGACTGGGGATGTGGCTCAAGTGGTGGCGTGCTCCCCTGGCATGTGTGCAGCCCGGGTTTGATCCTCAGCACCACATGCAAGCAAAGATGTTGTGTCCGCCGAAAAAACTAAAAAATAAAATATTGGAATTCTCTCTCTCTCTCTCTCTCTCTCTCTCAATAAAATAAAATAAAAATAACAATTTAGCAATGCCCTAAGTGACTTACTGACACTCTCCTGTCTCAATAAAAAATAAAAAGGGTTGAGGATGTAGCTCAGAGATAAAGTGCCACTGGGTTCAATCTCCCCAATACAAAAGAAAGAGAGAGAGTTACATGACCTAAAGTTACATAGGCAGTGAGTGATGGAATTACATTTTAAAAGCTATAGTTTTTAAAACTATAAAGCTCTAGGTGCAATCATAGCACTTAAAATGCACATAACACAGAATTTACAATTTTAAGCATCTTTAATAGTACAATTCAGTAGTATTAAGTAATTCACTGTGTTGTGCAACTGTCTCTACTATCTAGTTTCAGATATTTTTTTGGGGGGGGGTACTGGGGTGGTGGAACCCTGGCCTCCATCATACTAAGTATGTGCTCTATCCCTGAGTGATACCCCAGCTCCAGAAATTTTTCATCACCCCAAGGAACTTAAATTTGAAGGAAGATTTATCTAGCTCCAAACCCGTGCACTATGTCTGTAATTTTTATAGCTTGATGAAGAGCTGGATCCTGTGGCATAAACAGGAAGTGCAAAAGGGATTCAGAAAGGGAGTGTTAATGTAGACTTTGGGCTCCCTCCACTAACTAGGAAAGTCTTTTTGGAATGTGGAAGTTTCAATGAGAGGTCAGGTTTAGAGAGAGGAGGAGCGAGGGCTTGACATTCTGGGCAGGGAAAATGGTACAAGTAAAGAAAGAGGGATGGGAGCAGAGAAAGGGAGGGACACTTTCAGTGATGACTGCAGAAATTTCTGTATACAGGTGGAGTTTCAGAGAGGCATCAGCCTTCAGAAGATGGAGTTGGCAGGAGGCTCAGGGACTTGTTTTGAATTGAAACCCTCTACTTTTATTTTAATCATGTTTACTTGGAGGCTCCACCAAAATTCTACCCATCTTGACACCACCATTGTGCAGGCAGTCGGTGCTCAGTGAAGAGTGGTAAACTAGAAATTCAACAGGACATAGCTGTCACCAGCATGGATCCACAAATTACTGATAGCATGTTGTCCTATCGCCTCTGTTTACAGATGTTGCTTGCTTATGAGGTTTAAAGACTGAAGCCCCACAGGCATGGTGGCTTAGGCAGGAGAATCTCAAGTTCAAGGCCAGCTTCAGCAATATAGTAAGGCTCTGAGCCACATAGTGTCTCAAAATAAAAAATAGAAAGGACTTGGGGATGTAGCTCAGTGGTTAAAACGCCCTGAGTTCAACCCCCAGTACTCCCCTGTGCACAGACACACAAAAAGAATGATTCCTCTGATTCCCAGAACCACATGCTTCAACTGTCATCCATGTGACCACAGAGCTGTCACTTCCTGAGAGGACCTCCAAGCGGGTTCCATATGGTTCTGGCATTGTGGTGACACCCTGGATGGATGACCTTGGATTCATTACAATGAATAAAAAAAAAAATAAACCCAGTGAGGTGGCATACTGATCTCTGGAAATCTCCCTTGTGAAAGCTCTAATGACAGCATGCATGCCACACCCCCATCACCTAGCTTAGTACACACCCAAACCTCAGTCCTGCCAGGGAGAAGGTGCCTTACTCCATTCATTCATTGGCCCTTGAATAAAATGTCCTGCCTGCTCCAGGGACTGTTTGGTTATTTATATACAGTATTGAGCAGAAAAGAGGGTGCATGTGTGTGGGAGCTCCAGCAGAGGAGGCAGAGTTAGGACATGGGGAAGAGCTTGGATCTTAAAATAGGTTAGGCAGTGCTGGGGACATAGCTCAGTGTAAAATATTTGCCTAGCATGTGAAAGGCCTTGTGTTCAATCTGCAGCACTGCCAAGAAGAAGAAGAAGAAAAGAAGTTAGGCAATAGAGAGCCACTGCAGGTTCTTGAGCAATGACCACATGGTGTGATGAAATTGGGATTTAAGTTTACAATGGTTTCTCGATTTCTTCCCGGCCTGGGAGCGCCCCCTGGTGCCCCTAGTTTTTTTTTTTTTAAATTAAAAAATTTTATTGCATTTAGTGAGAGTCATTGTTACTGTGTTCATACATGCACATGATCTAATAATACACTTTGGTCAGTATAATTCTCTGGTGTTTCCCTTCTTCCTCCCCTCCTCCCTCCCTTTGGCCCCTTTCCTCTACTGGTCTCCCTTTGATTTTCAGGAGGTGCCCTGCCCCCCCCCCCATAACTTTCTTTCCCTTTTCCTCTCTAGCTTCCACATATGAGAGAAAACATACAACCCTGACTTTCTGAGTTTGGCTTATTTCATTTATCATAATGGTCTCAAGTTCCATTCATTTACATGCCAATGACATAATTTCATTCTCTTTTTGAAGCTGAATAAAACTCCATTGTGTATATATACACCATATTTTCTTTATTCATTCATCCACTGACAGACACATAGGCTGGGTATGCATATATCTCCATAGTGTGATGACTTGAATTCTTTAAGATAAATACCGAAGAATGGGATAGCTGGGTTATATGTGATTTCATGCCTAGTCCTTTGAGGAACCTCCATACTGATTTTCATAATGGTTGTACTAGTTTACAATTCCACCAACAGCATGAAAGTTCCCTGCCCCTCTATAATGGCATCCCTAGTTTGAATTGTTCCCTCGTCAGATATGGAATAGGTGGAAAAATAGAGAGCCGATTGAATTGCAAAGCTGGGCTCTGGGAGGTAATGTGTAGATAGAGACCTTTGAGAGTAAAGAGAGATTGCACCATAGAATTTCCTTCTCTCTGTGTCATAATTACTGTGTCTGTTGTGCTTTGGAAACTAGCACAGAAGTCATGAAAGCTATGGACTGAAGATGATGATATTAGAAAGGTCCATGTGTTTAAGAAACAGGCACTCTCATTAGGAGGACAGGCAAGTACTATAATGTTATACTACAAAGCACCAAGAACCAGGATGCAAGTATGCACATAGAACAGTTACCTGGAGCCAGGTTCAACGGTATACTCCTGTAATGCCAGAGACTGGGGAGGCTGAGGCAGGAAGATCATGTGTTTGAGACCAGCCTCTCAACTTAGCAAGACCCTCAGCAACTTAGTGAGACCCTGTCTCAAATAAAACAAAAAGGACTGGGGTAAAGCACTCCTGGGTTCAGTCCCTAGTACCAAATTAATAACAACAACAAAAGGGCTAGGGATGTATCCCAGTGCTAAAATGCACCTGGGTTCAATCCTCAATATTAAAACAAAACATCAGTTCTCAATATTAAAACAAAAAATATTAAAACAAAAATCCCAGTTACTTGGAGTTGTGGGTGTAGCTCCTGGAAGAGTTGACATCTAGCATCATTTGTTTTTTGGTTTTTGGTGATTAGGATTGAACCCAGGGGCACTTACCATTGAACTACATCTCTAGCCCTTTTAACTTAGAGACAGGGTCTTGCTAAATTGTGGAGGCTGCCTGAGCCTTCTGAGTACCTGGGATTACAGGCATTCACCACCATGCCTGGCTCCACCTACCCTCATTTTAAGGGATGAGTTATAGGTAAGGAGCTGGACAGGTATGGGGTGGGCTTCGTAGAGGGTGGCACAGCCTGCTCTGTGCAGGGGACTGTTAGCAGTTAATTCAAATCCCACAAGGGAGGAAAAGGTTAGTTAGATTTACAAACCATAATTTTTTTTTTCAGTTCTGGGGATTGAAACTAGGGTTGTTTTACCACTGAGCTACCTCCCCAGCCCTTTTTATTTATTTCTTAAAAATTTAAGACAGGGTATAGGCAAATTGCTGAGGCTGGCCTTGAACTCACCTTTCTCCTGCCTCTGCCTCCCCAGTCACTGGGATTACTGGCGTCTGCCACAGCCCTGGAAAATAATGATGAATTATTAACGGCAATAGAGTGTGTATGAATGGTTTTAAGCAAGAGCACAATCAGAAGCCAGTTTAAATGCATTAGAATTCAGACTCCAGGAGGAACAGAAATAAAGGTCTTCTTTCGAAGATTCCATTTCCCTTGTAAATCCCAAAGGATCAATCCTGTCTGGGAAGGCTGTCTCCTGCACACAAGGTGTGGCTCTCTTTTAACCTTGTTACCCTCATGTGACTGAGTTCCTCTTGGCAGCCTCTCCTTCCCACATCCAGCTTCAAGTGGGACACAACATTTCTCTGAGGTTTCTAAAAATAATCCTTGCATTAGTTCTAGCTATGGAGTACTATGCAGCTGTCAAAAGAATAAGGACAATCTCTGCACTGGAGATGATTGTCAGGAAGTTTTTTTGTTTTGTTTTATTTGCATTTGTGGGAATTAAACTCAGGGCATCCTAAATGTGAGTCAAGTGCTCTCCTGAGACCAACCTACTTCCTAGCACCCCCCGCCCCGTTTTAAAATATTTTTTAGTTGTCACTGGACCTTTATTTAATTAATTAATTTATATGCAGTGCTGAGAATCAAACCCAGTGCCTCATACATGCTAAGTGAGTGCTCTATCACTGAGTCACAACCCCAGTCCCCCAGGCCTTTTTAAGTTAAAAAAATTTTTTTTCATCAGTGCTGGGGACTAAATCCAGGAGCACTCTACAACTGAACTATATCCCCTGTCTTTTCTTTTTTTTATTTTGAGATGGGTTCTCTCTAAATTTCCAAGGTTGATTTAAAACTTGAGATCCTCCCACTTCAGCTTCCAGAGTTACAGGTGTGCACCACTGTGCTGAGCCAGGAGATATTTTTCAATTAAAAAACTAGAGCTAGGTCTAGGGCTGGGGCTCAGCGGTAGAGCGCTCACCTAGCATGTGTGGGGCCCTGGGTTCAATCCTTAGCACCACATAAAAATAAATAAATAAAATAAAGATATACCTTTGTGTAAGAAATGGATATTTCACTGGGCCTGGTGGTTTGATTTGTAACCCCAGCTACTCAGGTGGCTGAGGCAGAAAAATTCTAAGTTTCAGTCCAGCCTGGGTAATATCAAGGCCCTGTTTGGGAAGATGTGGGGAAAAGGCACACTCATACATTGCTGCTGGGGCTGCAAATTAGTGTAATCAATATGGAAGGCAGTATGGAAATTCTTGGAAAATTGGGAATGGAACCACCATTTGATCCAGCTATCCCTCTCCTCAGTCTATACCCAAAGGAC